ATTGCGTCAGGATCCCTAGATTATTGTCGCTCAAGGGCGGCAAGGGACGGCTGCTATCCATGACCGCTCCTGTCAATGATATTCCCTGCGCAATAATTTGTGTATGAAGGATGTGGGCTTACTTTCTTTGCTTCCTCTTGATTATTTGAGCTTAGGAGATAAAAATATCGTTTTTTCTGGATAAGGATGATTGGATTTTTGAACCAGGAGATCTCGGACAGCGATGCTCACCTTTAGCTTTGGAAGAGTAATTGGCGAGGAAGTCTGAGAGACCTCAAGTTCCAGTGGGACTTACTGTCCTAGGGTTGAGCTTTATAATGAAGAAAAGGTAAAGATCAAGTGAGTGATGGAAGCCTCCACTTAGGGTGTAGGGACTAGCTTAAGCTGTATGGTGAATAGTAGTCTCTATTTAGTGAGGTGTTCATGGTCTCTCTGGATCTTTCACCTTGTGCTGTCATAGTGCCATCAGCCTGTCCGGTACTTCCCAGGAAAGCGGCGTTCGGGTGTTCTCAAAAAGCGCCATCTAGAGCAGCGGAAGCAATTTTCATGTTTTCCACTATACAGGCTTCTTATACATATATTCAAGAAGCCATTTGATAAGTTATAGAACATCGATTCCATAATAAGGGGAATTTACTATAAGAGGTTTTATTGTACAATCTCTTGCCCCTCATTGGACAAACGATACCGGAGCGCCAAGCCCTACGGAAAAAGAACCCCTCTCTCTCATAGGCCAACGTCGTCTTTTCGCGTTACTCTACTCTGCCTGTGTTGACCTCTTCCTGCACCTAAGACAGCTAATCTCGATCGCCTGCTTCGGATTAATCAGTCATAGCCAAAGCTAAAACAAAACCAACACAAACCAGTCTTAACGCGACTGTCAATCATGGGCGACAACAACTCCAAACGAGATGCCTCCAAAGGTACAATTAGAAACTCCGCGATATCTTTCTTCAGTATAATAACAATCCTCAGTTTGGACCACGCTCATAACAAATACCGCATACCTGTCTGGACTTTTGGCCCTTGACTACTCTCTCAAGAAAGTGGGCTCAAAGTATCCGCTTGTCGTTCTCTACACGGATTCGTTCCCCGCCGAAGGCCACGAAGCTCTTGATTCTCGAAAAATATTGAAGCGCCATGTACCATATCTTCTTCCATCAGTTTCTAAGGATTACACCAACGACGTGCGATTTTACGATTGTTGGAGCAAACTCACTCCGTTCTCACTCGTTGAATATGACCGTGTCGTGCAACTTGATAGTGACATGGTGGTCCTTCAAAATATGGATGAATTAATGGAACTCGAATTGGATTCACCAGAAATGGCCGGAGACGGAAATCGAGTGTTTGCCGCTAGCCACGCTTGTGTCTGCAATCCACTCAAAAAACCTCACTATCCAACAGACTGGTAAGACCAATCTAATTTCAGCATTAGGAGAAAGCTCAACCGCGGATCACAGCGTAGCTAACTCGTCAATTTTGAAAGGGTTCCGGCCAATTGTGCTTATACTACGCAGCATGACAATCCCGACATCGCGCAAACAGCTGGCGCTTCATCCACTGCAGGTTTGGGGATACCCAATGGAGGCCTACAAGTGGTGAACCCAGCCAAGGCAATCTACGACAAAATTACTGAACAGCTTGCTAATGCTACAACATCAAATTATGACTTCGCCGATCAGTCCCTTCTCGGTGATCTATTCTACGGTCGCTGGGTTGCACTCCCGTATATCTACAACGCACTCAAGACCTTGCGGTGGGAAGGTGTACACCACACCATATGGCGCGATGAGAATGTTAAAAACATACATTACATACTCAGCCCGAAGCCATGGGATGAATGGGCGGACAGACAGCAGAACCCCGGAGAATCTAACCAGAGCCAAGACCCGTCGCACGCATGGTGGGCAACATTGAACGCAGAAAGGTTGAGCGAGGAACAGAATCTAGGCATAAGGGACCAATTTTGAGCCTTTTGTCTGAAAATCCCGAACCACTGCTGTTGATTCATTTCTATGCTCCTATGCACATATCTCTCACTCTTTGGGCACTAAGTCGACCCAACGAGTCAGTGCCAAACAGTGCACCTTCCTGGGTGCTCTCATGGTAAAGCGATATGTAGCCCTTTACTTCTGTGACTATCCTGTGTAACTACTTATAGCCTGAATGGCCTGTACTGAAATATTCTAAATGCCTCCGCAAAGTCCAGCAGATTTGGCTGGCGTTACAATAGACAGCTATGTTTTGAAGCCTAACATTTCCGTCGGCATCCTTGGTAACTTTTAACCCAGTTTGCCAAGATTCACATTCTTATGTCATCCTCCGCGAAATTCAGGTTCGCTTGGCGGCAGTTGACTTTGCAACCAGGCAATCGCGGCTTGACTAGGAGGCAAATCCGGAGTTGGAAAGTGTGGGGGAAATGGGGGCGGGGAGTTGGTAATGTACTACAGGATGGAGATGGGTAATATAACATGAACACATAATTCATACTCAATAGTCAGTCCGTGCTCAATTATATCGGCAAATGTTAGGGCAAAAGACAGAGCATCTAAATCCCGCGACGCTGATTGGCTATAAGGACGTGCGTCACTACATAGCTGTTAAGAATTTCTCCTTATCACCGAGGCCGAATTTGCAAGCGGATAAAGTCCAACCAGGACATGGCGGGATCAGCCTGAGCGCGCGGCTTCTCCAGGCGCACTGTGTGGGGAAAATGTGGGAGAAGCGGCAAAGATTTACTCCGCCTACACTGGGAGGAGGACCGACACGAGGCGAAACATGGTCGGCAGTATAGCCCGGGGATTGCAGAGATTCATTTAAGGCTATTGTATTGCCCTTCTCTGTCTCGGTCTTTTGTCTTTGATATATTCTAAACCTCCCTCTTCCCCGAGCTTATACTTATACCCCTTCTCGTATATTCTCCGCACACCTCCGATACCATGACGAAGCAACCTCAAGATTTGCAAATCGTCATTCTGGGTGCAGGCATGGGCGGATTGACTTCCGCTCTTGCTCTGGCCCAGCAGGGTTTTAAGAACATTGATATTTATGAGAATGCCAGCGACCTCGGCTTTGTCGGCGCTGGTATTCAATTGGCGCCGAACATGGCCCGCGTTTTGGACGGACTTGGTGTCTGGAAGGGTATTGAGGCTGAAGCTGTGAATATTGAAGATACATCAGTCAGAGGTATGTTGAAAGTCTGCCAATATAACAGTATCAAGTGATCTAATGCAGGCTTCCAGAGGGTGCAACGGATAAGGAACATGCCTATGTCGATCTGCGCTACATTGAAAAGACATACGGATATAAGCACATGGTTGGCCACCGTGCATCACTTGCCAATGGCTTGTACGAAGGCTGCAAGAAGCACTCCTCAATCAAGTTCCACTTTGGAATCAACGCAGACAACGTGGACTCCTTCGGCCCGCGCCCATCATTCACTGCTAAACCCCGCGCCGAGGGTGCGGACCCTTTCAAGGTAGAATGCGATGTACTTCTTGCAGCTGATGGCATCAAGAGTGTAACCCGCGTTGAAATGCTGAAGCGACTGGGCGTCGACGTCGGTGTCAAGGACACCCAGCAAGCAGCCTACCGTATCATGATCCACAAGGACCAGATCAAGGATGACCCAGAGCTGTTGGCTCTGATCAACAGCAACCGCGTCACTCGCTGGATTGGCGCAAAGCGTCACATCATCGCGTACGCCGTCTCCAACAACACCATTTACAACATCTCCACCACCCAGCCTGATACCAACTTCGCTGCCGCCACTAACGCCACCTACACCACCAAGGGCTCCAAGCCCGCCATGATGGGCGTCTTCTCTGACTTCTGCCCTATGGTCCAGCGCATGCTGAACTATGTTCCCGAGGGCGAGGTCTGTGAATGGAAGCTGCGCGTTCACGACCCTCTCCCCACTTGGGTACACGACTCTGTCGCTCTCGTCGGTGATGCTTGCCACCCTACCCTGCCTCATCTGGCGCAGGGTGCTGCCCAAGCTATTGAAGATGGTGCAGTTATCGGTGTTGTTCTCTCCAAGCTCCCCGATACCACTCCGGAGTCCATCAACAAGGCTCTCCGCGTATACGAGAAGGTCCGCAAGAGCCGTGCCGAGGCTCTGGTTGAGATGGCTACCGCCTCTGGCCGCGCCCTCCATTTGGGTGAGGGTGCTGCCAAGGAGGAGCGTGATAAGCAGTTCGCTGCTCTTCGTGCTGGCAAAGGTCCCGTACCGGATAAGTGGGCCGATGCCGATGTCCAGCGTGAGATCTACGGCTTCGACTGCACGAAGGTTGCGGCTGATAACTTCAATGAATACTTCTCGCATATGTAAGCGTCAATTGTTCGATTCTGGTTTTATTCCGTGTATTCTGCTATTGCATTTTGTTGTATAATTTCGTGTATATTTATGAGCTTTTGGCTGTTGGCTGAGAGAATTGAAACTATCATGACCTTTCCCACACATTTGTCAACTAATATCATGGTGCTAAGTCTTTCTCTCTAAACAGGGACAGTGCCCCTCGCAGTGCTAAACTTGCATAGAGGTTGTGGGTTTACGCGCATATCTTACGACCATAATGAGTCTCAGCAAATGTTCACCTACCTAGAGAATTTCAGTCGATGAAAATAAGAGTACCCCCTTTCTTGCAAAGAATAGCATTGAGAATTAAAAATGCTTTCAGGTGGTGTAGGCATATATCTTTTCAGTATTGTACTCCGTTGAATCTTGGCATGCTTCATAGAGATCTACCAAATTCAACTGGTTCCTGAGATTCATTCCAGACATTGCTTTTTTAACACACGATCAACTGATTTAACGTAGTGATTTTATATTAAATGTGTCCTAACTCGTTCTGTTCTGCAAATCGTTGTTTTTCTGTAGTTTGAATGTACGTGATGGCCGATCTCCCCCCCGCCAAACTCCAACTCCAACTCCACCGTGAACTCCAAATCCAACTTGCAGCGTCATGCGGCTCTTCTCAGTTTCTAAGAGCAGATAAATGCCTTTTCCAGCAGTATGTCCCTACTGCGCCTTACGAATCCTCCAAGCTAATCTATTGAGCTCCAGACTCCATCGCCATTCCGCCTCTCCCGCCGCAACACATCCACGCGGCGCAATGCCGGTCCCCAATTCGCCCCCACACCGCGATTCGTACTATCTCAGCCTACAACACAAGAGAATATTGATGATATCGACGTGATAGATGATGGTGAGGGACCTTCATCTACACCGAATGTCACGCGCCAACCACCTGCGTCCCAAAGCGGATTGCGCTCGCGTCACCTGCGTGACGTGATCGAGGACTCGGATGATGCGGAGCTTATACCTAGCCAAGGTGCTAGAGGCACAGCTGGAAATGAGTTACCAGATGATGCAATTGATAGTAGTGCGCCTGAGGAATCAGAACCCCCAGGCGTTCTCGATGCCGAGTTTGACGCGCTCTTCGCGACTACTCGCGAGAATAAACGGCGCCGTGTAGGGGTCCCCACGCCCCTACCGTCGATGACGCGGACGGGACTTGATCCATTTTCTTCCCCATCCACAAGAGGAAACGAGGCGACTGAAACTATTAGCATTGGAACTGAGCCGAACTTCGCCGCGCGGGAGAATGATGTGCAGAGAACGCCGGCCCCAAGTGCTCGCCTAGTCGCACCAGGCATATCAACGCCGGCGAACACACAGACACCATTTCGTGGTCGTCCCCGGTTTATGCTTTCGTCAACTGTGAAGCCGCCTAGCAGTCAGTCTGCACCAAGATTTCATGCAGGCACGCAAGAGATATCGCCGCCTGAAAGACGGAAACCAACTTTTGTTTTACCTCGCTCACCATCGCCAAACCAAGAAGGGGAGGATATACCTGCACCATTCTCTCCCTCATCTCGCACGCTACGTCGTCGTGGTCGACAGCGGGGCGGCGCACCCAGTTATACGCCTGGTGGAATGGCTGCTGAAGTACGGGGTTGGATTTTAGAAATGGGCACAAAACGTGATTCATTACCGAAACCTCAAATGGCTAAAACCCCCTCTGCTCCAGAAGCGCGTGCCTCTGAGGTGTTGGAGAAGTATCTCGTTGCTGTACGCGTCAATCATGCTAGGCATTCTACACTTAGTAGCTGTGGCCCACTTGCTTTTCTGCAAGGGACAGTGCTTGGTGGGCATTCTGTGCAAGGAGACGTTCAGGACGATTCCACTAAAATCATGATTATGGGACCTCCACGATCCAAACCGCCTCATTCTGATATTTCTAGAGCACTTCACCTACAAGGAGCGGACCTTGTTGGTATCCACAGCGGGCTAACTTGGGATCTGGAGCTTGGGGCCTACTTGGGGGAAGCAAATCTCCCAGACAACGATCCGCCCACCTCGCAAGGCGAACCACTTGGAAGTGATGACCGGAATAATGGAAAGGAACGCTGGCTTGTGGCTATGGAATGGGATCTTATCCAGGTACCTGAGTGATCCTTCCTTGCCCTGGTACACGTGGGAAGTTGATTGATATTCTATTTTTGTATATCATTGTCTTGTTTTATTTCATATTATGATCCACTATACCCTACATTAGCAATGCAATACTCATTTCAGAACAGGTTGGATATGGCCTATTGTATCTATACAACAATCTAACAAGTCACTCGATAGTAGCAATAAGTAAGGACCTCAAAAGATAGTTAGGTTAACGCAAAACTGTACATGTACCCGAGCCCCCGAGGTCCGTTTTGGAGCTTCTGTCCCCGCCGGATAGCGGATCCAAGTGTTCAACTGGGGAACATATCTTGCCTTCGAATCAAACCGGACCGGGGTACCCATGGTTAGATTCGTGGTACCAATCCATAGGCCGAATACTTTAGACAATTCATTGGGCGGAGAAGGGGGCTACTTGTATGATATTCGTCAACCAAACTGAGAGAGAGTAGAATCAGAAGGGTGTATCTAAGTGCCAATTGGGTTTAACCGCGAAGTGCTAAGTACACGAAAGAGTGCCACGAAAGAATGCCATTATACAGCATCTCAGGCAGTTGATAGACGCCCTGAGTTCCTCCACAAGGGGTACTTTACAGGTGACAGGTCGTCTGCTCTCTAGGCCCCGCAGAAAACGCTGGATCTCACTTGCCAATTGAATGACCGCGTGCCTTCAAGTGTAAGAGGTGTCGCATTTGAAGGACTCCTTCGTATGATCACCACCAGTATATGAGAGGACAAGCGTGTTTGGACAAAGATTTCGCCGTTGCTTGCCATCTGCAGTTGCAGATGGCAGATAATCTGGAGCAAAACTTCGTTCAACCGAGCAGACCAGGACTGAGAGGGGGTTCCTGGGATCAGTCCATTGCCACCTCCACAGTGAGCCACCCCGGAAACCTCAAAGACCCGGTAGAAGTCCCGCACGTTTGCATCTTTGCCTTCAACGCGGTTATAGTAACTCTGTGAGACTTGAACGTAAATTTCCTGATCAACCAGGCCGTGCCAAGGCAGGAGCTTGCCACCGGTTTCTCGGAAGGCTTCCAGGTCTGGATCGTCGGTGCTAGTGAGTGATTTGTTGGCGCTGACGGAGAGGCAGATGGAGCCTCGAACCCATTTTCGGGAAGACTAGTGATGTCGAAGGTCGTATTTTGATGGACAAAAAGACTTATTTAGTCGACGGCAATGCCGAAAGGAACCCCTTCGCCTCGATCCCCCTTGCAGATGGTATTAGCCGGATCCTGAAGCGAGACACATTTGGCCATGCCATACCAGAGTGGGATTCCGTACGTATGTCCGGGGCCATTCCAAATCTTCTAGATCACTTGGACATCTTTCTTGGTCACAGAGATAGGATGGCAATTTCGTGTGTTTTATCCTTCATCAGTAGAGGTAACATGACGAGTTGCAACTATGGCAGTTCGCAATAGTAGCTTGAGCACACGTGAAAATCTTTTGTGCACTTACATATGCTCTGCAACTTCTGATCATCAATCATATAGACCAAAGTACGTGAAGTCTCCTTTCCAAGCTTCAGGATTTGCACCAGAAGCGCCTTAACAGGCGACAAGCCCATTTAGTAGGCATTACGGCCTCAACGACCAGGACTCCAAAGGCTCTTGTATGTGTTTAGGCTATGTGTTTTGATGTACCCTGGTCTATATGTGATAGGTGTTAACCTTTTTCCTTTGCTTATCAAAATGGGGTAAATCTCCGTATCTCTCTAGTCTTGTACAAATAAGCTTACAAGTATTCAAAGAAACCTTCCAAGAACTAACCATCCTTACTTTCCGGTAAGTCTTCGTGGACAAACTTGGTGTCATTCAGATACCAGGTCAGCGCCTCCCGATCTTTCTTGAGGTCTCCAACACTCCAGCCATTACCAAACCAGCCAAACTCATTCCCATCAGACGGCTGCATTTCAAAGTCCTCCCACCTCACATCTCGGTATGCCTTGATGAGGTGGACACCGCTTCCAGGCCACACCCCAATGACACTGCCAGCCGTTCTCTCCTCCACCGTTGTACCTGATTTGTACCAACTGGCACATTTGTCGCTGAATACTGTCCGTTTGTGGTATGCTTCACAGAAACTGGTGAAGTTTTCCACTTGCTTTCGCTTGGGCTCGATGGTCTTCACATTTCCGGTGGCAAGCTTGCGTAGAATTTGAGCAACGTATAGGGTCACGGATTCAAGAACCATGAGGAGATTACCAGCTCCAAGCCCGGAGTTGGGGCCCAGTGTCTGGAAGTAGTTCGGAAAGCGGTCCATACAGACCGCCAGGTAAGTTTCCGGCCTGTCCTTGTTGTATTCCGCGAGACTGAGTCCGCCACGTCCATAGAGAGGGAAGCTTCCGCCGAAAGAGCGGAAGCCAGTGGCACAAACAATGGCATCCACTGGCCGGTGCTGCCCATCTTCGGTTATTATGCCTGTCTCATCCACTGATGCAATGACATCGTGGATCACGTTGACCTTGGGTGAAACGAGAGCTTCAAGGTAGCCAGGGCCGGGAGTGAGTCGCTTGCAGAACGGTGCAAAGTCGGGAACAATACGTTCAGCAAGCTCAGGTTTCGCCTTGAGCCGCTCTCGCATATCTCGATCAAATTGGCTCCTCATCGCTGCCTGCAATTCTGAGTCCTTCATTACCGCTGGGTAAACGCCTTGAACTCCTGCTTCCAGTGTCTTTCGGTACTTTTTGTACGAGGCTAGATCTTCCTTCCACGCCCGTTTCTCATCTTCAGTGTAGTCGAAGTTGCCGTCATTCCCATTGTTCCGTTCTCTGACAAATTCACTTCCGAATGACGCGGCAATCCAGGTGCGGCCGCGAACGTAGTGGTCCATAGCCTTGACCTCCGGGAGCAGGGCTGGGACAATTTGTATGCCACTGCTTCCTGCTCCGATCACAGCCACATTTTTACCCTTCATATTAAAGTCAGCAACAGTACCAGATAGATCGGAAAGCAAGATAGAAAGGATTAGAAAAGCAGAAGGCATTGGTATGGAAAGACAGCCACAGAAATTCCTACCTCCGGTTGAAATGCCATGTCCCAGTTAGCACTATGCATCAAAGGACCTTTGAAATCGTGCAATCCCTTGATACTAGGCCATTCCCATTGGTTCAGTGCACCGACACCACTCATAAGCACGTCCGCCGAGTCTTCAATAATCAGCCCAGTGTCAAGGTTGATAAGCTTCACATGCCACTGAGAAGTCACTTCGTTCCAACGCGCTTCAATACAACGGTGCCGGAACGTCATAAATCGTCGAACGTTGTATTTGTCTGCAACCAGCTGCCAATATTTGAAAATCTCCGGTGCTGTCGCATAGAAAGACGTCCAGTCCACGGAGGATTCAAAACTCAACTGATATGAATGTGCCGGGATATCTGAGAATTTGTATTAGTGCAGGTTTCTAACAAATATAGGAGCAGACACTAAACCAACAAACATACCACAAGCACAACCGGGATACCTGGAGGTTAGTGAGAAGGTGTATATTGAGATGTTTGTATGGAAAAGATGTTCCTCTTACCTGTTTTCGAACCAAGTCCCCCCAATATCTGGGTTCTTGTCGTAGATAGCGAGCTCAATCCCTGGCACATGTTTCGGAAATTGGATTGCTGCCAGTATTCCGGAAACACCTGCTCCAATATAGATCACCTTGAGAGGTCTTGGCTCGTCGATCGCACGCTCAGAGATGATCGGGTCTTTCATATTTTCAGTTTCCATTTTAGGGCAAAATAAACCTGGCCTTATAGGATCAAATATTGAGTTGCCAGAGTAAATTTGATAGAAACGGGTCTGAAGACTAGCTTTAACCAACACAAAGAGGCTCGTTGACTATTTATTTCGATCTATCCATTAACGTGGTAAGGGACACTCTCAACTCCGATATCCTGTGCCGGCCAAGGAAATGACTCGGCATCGGACTCATCCGGAGACCGAGTCGGCATCGAAGTCCGAGTCGGTGTACCATTGATTCTTGGCCTTGTATTCTCCGTCCCCATGAGATTCGATGTCTCTTCAACCAAAAAAGAGCTTTTCAGGGTCGCTCAGTTATCAAAAACCCAAATATGCTACTGTCGTTAAACCTTCTAGCAGTGGCAAGGGTCCAGCATGGCGAAGGCTGGGGAAATCACCACTGGAAAATTTGAGATATCTGTTATAAAAAGAGATCATGAAACGGCCATCGAAATGCATATCGTAAGGTATGTACCCTTCCATGACAGAGTCTTAGTGCGAGCATCAGCAGTGAACAAGGCGGATCCGCGACAATGTTAAACGTGGATATAGAAGACGCATCTTGACAATACAAATATGCATACATACTCTTTACTGCCCTACTGTAATGTAACAGAATACGAACACAGCTTCAATAGCGGCAGGTTTCATAGTTGTCTAGTTTTGATGAGCGCAGTGAAAGGGCCAAGAATCATAGTTTTGCAACTACAGAGAGAATTGAGATGATTATCTATGAAGGTCTGCGAAGAACTGACATTGATCGCCGGCCTCAGGCCATCACGAGCGTTTCAGAAGCGTTTACACCAAATTCCCTCACAATCATCAACATTTCGTCCAAGGATATTTTGTCCGCGTAGTCAAAGACAGTGCTTCTCCGCATAGTTTCGCCACCATACGCACGTACATCTACTTTGGCAGTGAGTCCTTCGTCACTGGGACCGAACACACGCACCGGAAACGTATCTTTCGTGGCGGTTTCATCAACAACAGGCCATGGGCTGACCCCGTGGCAAAATTTGGAAAAGTCCTCCGCAAAAACTTCAGCCACTGCTTGCTGCTCTTCAGTTAAGTACTCCCTATAATTCTGGAAGAGATATGCAAGGTCAAGAATGTGAGACGCTTGACCTTTCCAGGGCCCTTCCCAGGGGTTCCTTTCATTGAAGTAATAAGCATAGAGGTTCCCTTGCCAGGTCCTCGCGAATGCAACCACAGGAGCTAACGCTACCACATCGTTGACGAAGTTAAGCACCGCGGGGAATGCTACTTCATCTGACATTGTCTCTTCTAGGCCGTATCTCTCAAGGATCTCCTGTGCTTCAGTTGGATGAGCTTTAAGAACATCTCTCATCGCGGCAGTTATATTTTGCGCCGCATCCTTTTTCCAGTGAGGAGTCAACAAGGAGCATATGCTTGCCTTAAACTCTGTCAGTAAGCATCGCACCACATAAAGGGGGCCGTCACCTACATCCATTTGAGCGCAACCAATCATCATGTCCTTGCAATTGTTGCCCCTGCTGGGTGGACCGTTTTCCATGTCGCTGCGTGTTTTTGGGAATGCGGCTTCCGAAGGGACCAAGTCTCCATCAACTGCAAAACCCACTGGTACCCTCGGCAGAATTTTCGAATACAATTCGTGCGTAGGACAGTTCAATAGTACAGTGACTCTTTCTTCCGGCGTCACACTTGTCAAACCTAATGCGTCTATGGCCTGCTTATAGCTCTCTTCATGGGCATGATAGGGTAAGGGCTGTGTCATAAGATAACTGCCACTCATTGCTATTGCTCTCGTGAAGAGCTTCTTGCTGCATTGCAAATGGAGTGTTACCGCAGCTGTAATTGCTTGGTTAGTTAATTTTAGTTGTCAAGCGTAGGAATATTTACCTGCGCCTGCGCTCATCCCTGCTAGTGTAACATTCTGGTCGTCTCCTCCAAATGTACCGATATGCTTCTGTATCCACATCATTGCCACTCTTTGATCCCGAAGGCCATTATTAGGCTTAAATCCAGCCTCTCTCAGCTCAGACGAGGTAAGAAATCCAGAGATTCCTAATCGATAACAAGGGGCAGTTAGAGGAAGCCGATCGAGTCGGAGAAAATGAATGGGGCATACTTGATGGAAACAGCTATGATTGGGAACCCCTTCTGGACAGACATTTTGACGAATCTTGCCATGTCATACTGGGGAAAGGAACTCGCTCCGGTAACAAGTCCACCTCCATGAATAAACAAAAAGACAGGAAGCTTGGATGCTGGACTTGTCGCCGCAGGGAGTGTGATATTCAAATTGAGACAATCCAGATCGGACTCTGCAATTCTTTTGTTCGGGAGCGTATGCTGTATCGCTGCATGCTCCAACTCGCACCCAAAAGGCAACGAAGGAGCGACTGGTCTGACGATGGCTTCAAAGTTAGCTTCATAATGTATACGTCAAGGAATGCCCAATAGATAGAACATCATACCCATATTCGGTTGCATCCAGGATAGCATCACCTTCAGCATATCCGATCATCTCAGCGTCGGCAAATCGGTTTCGAAGTGAGGCATACTTGACGCCGAGGAACTGCGTCACGCCATCTACAGTCTTCCCTCTGAATTGACCCAGCAGAGTGATCTCCGAAATCATGGTCATAATAATCCCAACTTGAAAATCTAAGGCACACACGACAGCCACGAAATTATTCTTGTCTAAAATGGACTAATAGTTTCGGGATTGAAATGGTCACTTTGTGCTTGGGGTACGGCACCAAGTTCGGGCGGCTTACCTAGATATGAGAGGCACTCTTTGTAAAAACCATAATTCTGCTTAGGTACTTTGCGAAGACTAACGGAAATGGGGCGGCCATTGCTTGTTTCGCCCCAAGTCGGAGTGCAGCATGAAACCGAGTCGGTCCGAGGTGTCCAGGGTGACCCACTCGGCCAGCCGAATCGGGCAATCTTAGGATGCTCCTGTTGATCCCGCCGTGATTCTCGATCGCTCTCCGGCGTAACGGAGCAGTCAATGCTCGTAAAATTGTATCCGGTTGGCAGCCTAGCAAGATGAACTGGTTACTCTGTGAACTTGACAAAATAAACCTTCTGCTTCATATAATTCGGAACAGAGCGCGGTATTAGGTGGGTATTCGATGCTTGCGTTTATTCATTATCCAACAATAAGCATAACGAGAGTATCTTTGAAATGATTCAAAAAGGATTGTTACGCTGGCATGAATCAACTAAGCCTCTAGCCAAAACCCTACATTATTGAGGAATGGTTCGAAACCAGTCGAGTCCTCCATCGCCACGTTCCAGCTAGCGAGATTGAATGGCGAATGATTTTGGAATAAGGAATCGGAATTGACAGGTGAATTTGGCGTTGCCAGAACTTCTCCTGTCTGCAACTCCAGTCCATGACTGAATGTACCGTCAGGAGCAGGGTGTTCCGTCCCTGAATTTTGCTTCCTAGTTGACCTGCTCTTTCCCAAGCTAGATTTGATTCCGTTGATTAGATCTGGAATGGAATGACTGTTGCTTCTCTGAGTATGCCAAGACTGCAATCGTTTAAATCCGCCACAGAAGCCCTGTGCGGTTGGATTGGCGTCTGATTCAGACAAAACAGTTAGCTTCCGGATTATTGCGCTGAGATAGAAATTTGTCTTCATGTCGGGGAGGAACACATCCCCCAATCTGGTCAGTGGCGAATGAAGTAGTTCTGACAGCCGCACCATTACAATAGCGGCGTACAGAGTCCAAGTCATGTATGGGCAATCAATCACACGGTATACTCGCGAGTCCAATCGAAGGAAAGATTCCAGTGCTCCACTAATGCTAACAACGCAAGTGGTCAATGCTTCGATGTGCGTTGCGGTGACGGGAGGCGGTGTTGAATTTGGGTCAGAAGTGGTATTATAACGAACAGCGATCTCATGCACGAACAGACGGCCAATCTCAAACATATGGTCGAGCATATCTGCGTCAGTCATCAGAATTACTGAGATACTTAAATTGACAGTGATCATGGTACGCACTTGGATTGCTGCTTCGAGTGGCATTCTCTTTCCATTCGACGAGTCTTTTATTGAAAGAATGGAGATGATATTGTGTTCTGGGATCATGCTCGACCACGAGTTGACTGGCTTCATCTGTGTGAAAGACCAGAGCAACGTCTTCCATGATTCGAGCCCATTGTACCATTGTGCAGAGGGTAATGTCTGTCGGAACAGCTGCGGGGCTGTCGCCAAAGAACTTAAGACATTCATCAATGTATGGCGAAAATCGAATTAACGGGGGATTGCGGAGGATTGTGGAAGCCCTGCGTGAGCTGTGAGTCATCTTCAATCCCAATTCGAAAAAAGAGCTTTACCTTACATTTGAGTTGTGTAGTAGCAGGTGAGCCAAGTTCGCCGCATCTCAGCCTCATCTTCCTTTGTTTTGACTGGGCTGGCACTGGGCCGGTTTCCGAGGCCAAGTTCCATTGCCATAACCGCAGCAGAATGTATGTACTGATTGAAGCCGATATCTTTGGTTTCACGATGTTTAAGATGCCACACTGCGTAAACTAGCATAGCCTGAACGAGGTCCACGCTTTTCTCCGTGCGAAACATGACCCGTTCCGCAACCTGACGTGCCAACTCCACAGCGAGAATCGGTTGCAGTTGGGGAAGGATACTCCCACTTGAAACGCCAAGAATAGCAAGCAGCAGGGTCGGCTTGCTCCGGCGCATGTTTTGTAGGCACGTGTCATTCGAAAAAGCCACCATCGGACACAGTGGGTTAATCTCGCAAAAAAACCGAGTGAATATTTGGGATGCCTCTTCCAGGCTCAATAGCCCACGATCAATCACATCGTTGCCAGAGTCCGTTTCACCGTCTCGGAAGCTTTGACATTCTTCGTCCACGACTTCGCTAGAAGGAAGCTCCCGTTCCGCGTCAGGTTCTGCGCCAGATTCAGAGGCATGCGAGTTGTACACCATACCAGCATTGACTGGCTCTGCGACAAGTGGCCCCGCTGGTGCCGTTCGTTCTTTCTGTGCTTGTGCTTTCAGGGACGCGGTCAAAGCATCGATCTTCTTCTCAAGCTCAGCGACTATTGGTGCTCGCCGCTGACTTGAGCGAGCTGGCCCTGCCACCACACAGACCCGGCTGACTTTGGCGCATGCTTTGCAAGCTTGCCGCCCATGGGATGGGATGCAGCGAATTTTCATATCCCGACACGCCTGACATGCACGAGGGCGCCGTTTTGGTGCTGAATTTGTTTGCGGACCATCCGCCAAGTGGCTGTTCTCCAGGTTGCAACGGCTGGGGGGGTTGCGGATGGTTTCTGCAGTGTGTGCATCCGGTTCCGTTGTCGGCATGGGTGGCATCACGCTCCGTGTGTAGCCCCTATGCGGACTCTTAAAAAGAAACTTGCTATATAATAGACAGATGGGTTCGGCCAAATTAGGGGGTGGAAGTGACTGATCTTGGGGAAAGGAAGCCCTTAGAGCGATAATATGCATCAGAAGTGCAGAAACTCCCAGGCGGAGCTATCGGTTATCTGTACCCACCGGGCAGTGGGATTCTGACGAGTGGCAAAGGGAGTTAGGAGGAAAAGTAAAACGCGTCCCAAACTGGTGGCGTATCTCAATGGACTCGCATGATCACTGGCTATATGGATCCACTAGTGAATGTAGAGACAATCCCCATTGGCCCCACTCCCCCGTATCCCCCGCAACCTCTTTACCATGGTTAAAGTGGTTCGCGGCATTTAAAGGGAGTAAAGTAGTAAAGCAGTTTGATTGGGGCTGAGTGGTTTCTTCCCTATCAAGACTCTTTTTCGTCCCTCCCCCACCTTCCCTCTGTTTATAGAGACCACTGCAATATATAAACACATTGCCGAACAGTTAAATGACAGCGAGGAACTAGGGCCAGAGTAAGCAGTGACATAGGATATTCAATGGAAGTATCATGGATAGTTTATGTGTTACATATGATAACAAAATGAGACACTACTTTCTAAGCAGTTATAAAATATTTATCAATGTGAATGAATACAGCTGCGTAAATTATGTTAGTCATGATTTCAACTGAATTGCATTATTTACAGTCCCATGGGAGAACGGAAGTCACGATTGACGAGTGTCAAAAGGTCAACCTGAAGTGTGGCAGAACCCCACAATTACCCAAACCTGGTATGCCCCAACCTGTACGGCCCAAACCGGTACCGACTCGGTCTCCTCGTTACGAACGCATCTCTCCCGACTCGGCATAGCTGGCCGATCCGGATCTACGGATAATAATATAACAACATATCTGGGAGCGTTGGTGCCTGAGGCACCGGCAGCAAGGATAAAAGAGACGCAAAATTCATAGATCATTGGCTTTCGATATCCTTCTTGAATCTTATAAAGTACTTGTTGCAGTTCATCTCACCTATTTCTTTGGACCCGGTTTTAAGCTGAAATGGACGCAGATCGGGAAAATTCGGTGGATGTCGTCTACACGGACGGCCAAATCATTATCGATGCAAACGGGCCACCTGCTCAAGCAGTCTTTATTAAAGCTGGCCGGATCGCTGTCGTCGGTTCGAATGAAGATGTACTCGCTGCTGCTGGACCAGGTGTATCGTGTTCTAGTCTGAACGGAGCAACCGTCATCCCGGGTCTCATCGATACCCACCCGCATTTGCTTCACTTTGCAGCTTTCAAAGGAAGTCTACTTGATATTTCAGACGCCAAAAATCATGGGGAGATCGTTGAGGCCATTCGACGCAAGGCTGAGCAGACACCCCACGGAAGCTGGATCATGACCTCTCCTGTGGGAGAGTCTCATTGGTTCCATCGTCGCTCCTATAGGGACCTTGAAGAAGGAAATCTTCCGGATCGCCACATCCTTGACCTCGCATCGGCGGATCACCCGATCATGATTCATGCGCTGGCCCCCAAGGATCCCAACGTGTGCGCATTCAACACGGCGGCTTTGAAAATCCTTGGAATAGGGCGCTCAACACCGGACCGGGTAAACGACGTATGGATTGAAAAGGATGACGAGGGACACCCAACCGGAATCCTTCGAGGAAGCGTCACGAATTACTACAACAATGATCCTTTCTTTGTGAGCCTTCTCAACAAGATGCCTCCGTTGATCCAGCCGGACGTCGTCCCGGCGGCTTTGGCACAAGCGATGAAGGACTACAATGCGCTTGGCATCACAACCATCTATGAAGGCCACGCGATGGAATTCCCCCATATTGGAGCATATCAAGCCTTCAGAGCACAGAATCTTCTGAGCGTACGAGTGCAAACGTGTCCAGAGCTTCAGCCGGGCGCATTTCCGGCAGATCCGAAGAAGACAATTGCTGAGATTAACTCGACATTGGAGAAAGCCCTGAGCCTACGGGAAGTTCAAGACGACTGGCTCAGAATTGAAGGCATCACTGCTTGCACCTATGGTCCTTGCTACACTGGCTGTTCGCTGGTCAAGGACGGATACCTCTCACCTAGTGGCGAAGTGACCACTGGGAAGCGCAGCATTAGCGAGGATAACCTACGAGCTGCCTTTGAATTCTGTGCCAAGCGCGGTCTTCGTCTCAACCTATGCTCGGTATCTCCGGATGAGCATGACGACCATTTCGCGATGGCCGTTGAGGTGATGGAGAAGTACGGCCTGAAGCAAACGGGTTGGCTTCTTCAGCACGGCATGATCATCCGGCCGGACCAGATCAAGCGACTGGTTGAGCTAGGATTTGACATGACAGTCAGCACTGCGTTCACTTTCGGAGAGGCTGAAATCTATGAGAAGAGGATTGGTTCGAGTGTCTTGGAAAACGTCAACCCTTTCCGTCTACTTCTTGATGCGGGTCTTAACGTGGCTGCATCAATGGACTGGGGACCTACGAATCCCTTTGAGCAAATGCAATTGGCGATTACGCACCGGATGTATCCGAGTGGTCGATCCAACGCAGGACCTGCTCAGGTTGTGAACCGAGCGGAAGCGTACGAGATGTGGACACGGCACGGTGCAAAGGTACTTGGCTGGCATGATATTGGTAGTATCAGCCCAGGGAATCATGCGGATTTGGCGATTCTTGACCGGAATCCGATTACCTGTGGCCTGGATGCACTGCCATCGACGCGCGTGCTTCGTACCCTTATTGGAGGACGAGTCGTTTACGATAACGGCGATCTGCCCGCTGCGTCTCAGGTGTAAACAATGTGGCATTCACAGCGATGGCGCCTCCTTTAACTGCTTTGACTTTGGCCCGTCGACAGCTTGTAAACCTTCTCATACATATTGACAAATCGAGCTTTTTGGATCCTGCTATGGTATTGACGGTGTCGTACGGCTGGCCAGCGTGTGCCGCGCCCCGAATTATGCTCGGACTTAAGCTGGTCAAAACACTATGAGGATGCAGAAGTCATCGGCATGGAAAATGTTATTTCAACTTGTACGATCCACCAATCAGTTCTCAGGTTACTATCGAAGTCAGGACGGCCAATAGAAGGCAAACGGGGATAAACGCTTCGCTATCAAAGTACACCCTCATTGCACTTTTTGTACAGTGATTTCCGCTCGAGGGACTAAAATATCCAGGCATATAGCGCATATGGACCAAATCAAATCATCTCAATTCCAGTAGCATATAGTCAACCTCCAAAATAAAGTTTGGCGGTACGTAGGCAGCAGTGAGGTAGGAAAGACCGATTCCTCGACCGATGGCAGGGCGGTAAGCTTACGACAAGAGAAAGTACTTATCGCTCATGAATATTCTCAGCTACATCCATTGGATCCGGGCAGAGAGATTACTTTGGTCTTACAGTGGGAATTGGGAATTGGGAATTGGTTCCCACTCACATCGTCTAAGTGTCTTTCTGGTTCCGGTGCCCAGGAAATCTTGGCATAGTGATCTTTTCTAGATCGGTTTTATCATTCTCGAGGTGGGCGCTGGATGCGACAGATTTACGTTAGTGCCATGGGTGTTCAGTTCAGAGAAACAATTGTTCTTGGCATTGCAGAGGGAATACAAATGGCCATATATATAACATGAAGTGCAAGGATTTTTCGAATCAACTTGGTTTCGCATGAATGGTAACTTACCCTAGATAGCGCACCAGGTAGTGCACGGAGCTTTTCCGATGTTGCGGCTTCGGTTACAAACAGGCAAGTTAACAAGAAAATAAGTCGTAATAATCCTACCGAAGTGACTGACTGTTATATTCCCAGCCCCTGTCATATTTAACAGTCTAGATCCCCCCTTCCTCCACCTCCTGATCTGATCCGATCAAGATCAACATCGGACATCTAATATACAACGGACATCCCTAGACTACAAGTACAAGTAAGTGGAGATCCAATCTAGAGTCCTAAAGGCGTACCTGCATACGGAGGTCCCTTTACCTTATCGTCTTGTGACCTATAGTGATAAGGGTCCCTCATCGCCCCATCGCCCGTCCCCTCCCCTATTCTTTAGGCACAAATCCTTGGCCTTTTAGGCCACATCATTGACTGCGAATCATCGTAAATTCACTGATGACTTCAAACTCGGTTGAAGGAGAAACGTACTAAGTTTATTTTGAAATTCCGCAATTCTTGCTCGTAATACAAGCTTCGGAGTTCTGTTTAATCGGGTCAATATTGTCACACGTGGTCGAGATAATACCTTTCCCACTACAACGGACCCTTTTGAGTATACACGGCGCCACGCATTTGACTTTTGCAAAGAGATTGAGCGGCCGATCGCGCGGCAGGGCCGTTGCATCGACTGCTTGCACGGCAGTAAGAAACACGGCAATAATAATTGTAAATCGCATATTGAGTCAGTTCGGTTGAAAGAAATTCTTCGAAGAATGACGCTTGAAAAATAATATCATGCTGAAAACAGGCCGTTTCTATATATTGCTAGTAAGAAAATCACTTCCCAATTTCCGCTATTTTGACTCCTCGCTTATACCCTAGTTCAATTATTTGGAGGACTATTGAATTCAAAAATCAATAAGGTCTCAAGCAGGGGCTCGACTTGGGGGCTTTAGTCAAGGTTATAATCGCGTAAATAAGACAGTTTGGATAGTTGAGTGATCTAGCCCGCCCGTTGTATAACAATGGCGCAGGTATCTGCAGTAGCGCATGACTCGATGAGGTTCCTCCCGAGCGGCTTGTACCTCATGTCGCAACATATCGTCTAGTCGCTACTGATAAGACGCCTCAATAAAATGCGGTCCTCCTTGGAACGACTGAATACAGGCCAGAGGGTTTCGTCACATCTATGAAAATTTGCACAAGGACATAGGTGAAGAAAGCGTCTGTCAAGCCAGCGATTTTTATTTACACTCGAGTCTAGAATGGTAGGTGCACAGAAACAGGCTTGGCAACGTGGTTCATATCATCAGCTCAGACCACAAGGCCTGGCGGCTCATAAAGAGACGCCACCGTTAATGCTAGCGGTATTGATGGTATGAACACTGAGAACTTGATCAAGGAAGGCCTTTATCGCTAAACCCAAGCAACCACTCCCCACCCCAGACCCGTCAGCCGCAGTTGTAGCAGGCACACCCCCACAAAGCCCTAACATAATAACACCACAACCCCGGAGTGACTCGAACTATGTCCGGACAGCACTGCGCGACCGACAGATATTGATAACAATGGGAATAACAACGATAGATTCAGAAGATCCCTACATATAGATACTGCGCACACATTAGGACTGCTCGGTTGAACGCAGAGCCCACCAAAAATGTCCAGGTGGCAGGTGTCGGCACAAGAATGGTAGGATATCAAGCCTTTGCCCCAATCTCTCCATTATCATAAACGATGCGACCAGCAACCGTTGTACGAAGGACTTTAGTACCAGACAACGATTCTAGGTCGCAGGTGAGCGGATTGCGGTCAATAATAATCAGGTCGGCGTGAGAGCCAGGCATGAGAGTACCAATGCCTTCCCATTGCATGACAGCGGCACCATGTGTAGTGAACAATTCAAACGCCTCCGCCTGGCTAATTACCTGTCTAGGTCCATCGTTGAACCGGCCGCTTGGGAACATCTGGTGAGTGACAGACAGCCGCATGCATTCCCATGGATCCATCGGACCCCAATCTAAACTGGCTCCAACAATGAGGCCAGCATCCAAAAGCTCCCGAATTGCATTCAAGCCTTCCAACGAGTTTCGACCGACGCGCTCATCCAGTACATCTCCTAAGCCATAGGTGAAGCCCATGCTAATGGTGACACTGAAGCCTAGTTCCTTGAGCTTCTTGGCTTGGCCTTCACGGATGATCATAGCATGCTCAATCAACCAGTCTGACTTTTTGATGTTGTATTTCTTCATCACTGCTTCCGCCGTCTCAATATATTCATCGAGCTCATCAGGAGACGTGGAGAGTAGATTGAGCCTCAACCCGGTCTTCGCGCAAAACTCGAAGGTAGCCTTCAGCTTTTCCTTAGTGATGTTACGTTTACCGGTCGTCAACCCACCGAATGTGGCCTGATAACCATCTTTCCAACACAAGCCGTCATGCGTTGGAATACCCCAAACGCAGGTTGTAATCCCCTCAACGCGAAGCCAGTCGTCATCGGATTGCCTTGCAGCTAGCGCTTGCTCCAAGGTCGACGCGATCTCGCTCATTGATTTGAGCCGGGAGCCGGGAAGCGCATTTGATTCAAGCTCTATGGATGCAAGGACTCGAGTGTTCAACTTTCCTTCAGCCTGAAGTCGCTTATATACTTCAATATGTGATGACTCCATTGCATGGGCCTCAAAGATTGATGTAATTCCCCTCTTGTGATAGTCGGCAAGCGAACTGAGAACCGCCTGAGGGATTAGACCGGGTAACATGTACGGGGCGATCTTCGTATCGCGCAGTTTCGCAAAGAACGGATCCTCATTGTAGTACGCATTGACGCTACCCTTCAGGATACCAGTAGGCTCACCCTGGCTATCTTTCTCAATCCAAACATCATCCACGCGGTCGGCTGTTGAGGAGTTAATCCCTAGGACCTGAAGGGCCAATGAGTTGAAAGCCGTGATGTTTGGGCAACTTGGTGGCCACGCCTGAATAATGATTGGGTGATTTATACTAGCTCTATCGAGGACATAGCGGTTTGGCATGCCGCCCTCTAAGTCGCGGTAAGATCTTCGGGCAAAGTATTGGGCGTCACCAATAGGAGTTGTCGCAATCCATCCACCCTTAGGTACGGAGGAAGCCTTTTCGCTGATTGCCTTCACAATGTCGTCGTGGCTCTTGGCATCAAGTATGTTCACAAGAGGAGCTCTTGCAACGGCATAATGCAGAAGATGAGGGTGGGTGTCGATTAGGCCGGGCGAAATCGTCTTGCCGCTGACGTCTTGCACCTCAACGTCGCGACCACCAGCGGTTAAGACCTCTTCATTAGACCCGACAGCGGCAATACGGCCATCGCGGATGAGAATAGCTTGGGCTGGCGGTCCAGAGCTCGAAGTCAAAACATTGCCATTAATGTAGGCAATGTTGACAGCGGTCTTGCCAGAAGTATCGATAGCCATGGTGCTTTCAGAGAAGTAATAGTGATTTGGTTGGTACGGGCAGTGAAGGTGAGGTAGCTCGGTCTGTCCTGTTCACTTGGAGGAACTTCCATCAATTTGAATGGAGGGTAAAGTAGGGTTAATATAAGTTATTCTATGGAAAGACCTCGATATCATACCACCTACCACTCGTTAGCCTAGGTTTCTAGGCTTGGGTACAAGCAAGAGGCAGTCGGTATTCTATAACCCGAGTCCGACTCGGGTTTGTCGGGTCACCCCCGGCCCGATGGTGAGATTGCAACCGACTATTCAATATAGTACCTTTCACCTTGCCCCAGGTTCTCAGACCATCCCTGTCATGGAAAGCAGTGGGCCTAGGAATGGTCCGGTCCCGGTCCCATCTCGGTCCTAAAATTTGGGACCGGGCCGGACCATACAGTCTTCGACCCAGGGGTCCGAAATTGCATAAATCTGTAAAGGCCTTCCTTTTCCAGCCGTATAATGCAATGATTCATTCTCGTTTTTAGCGTTATTAAACCCTGTTTTTTAGTCTTGACTTTAACATGAATAGTAAATTAGTCCTAGCCACTATTAAAACGGATAAATTAAGCGTGTATACCTGCAATACAGCACAGAGAGTTCAGTGGTTTGGCATTGATTGGCTGTGGTGCTGTAGTTGGGAGTGAGGGTCTAATTCCCCCACAACATCTCCGACAATCAATCACGTCGGCTTTTACCCGGTCCGACTTCGGATTTTACAGGCAGACCACCATCTATATAAGATAGACTACGATGGTAGCGCACATCATGCTGGATGAAGAGTATCTTTTAGGTACCATTTTCCGTCACGACTTCCTCATCTGATTCCATCACCATGCCCAGCACTCTACCCCAAGCCGAAGACCATGTGGACGTCCTCATTGTCGGCGCTGGCCCTGCGGGTCTGATGCTGGCGAATTGGCTGAGCCGTTGCGATGTCAAGACTCGCATTGTGGACAAGCGAGGAACAAAGGTAAATCCTTCATCTTCCCGTTGCCATTGACTGCAGCGGTATTGTAAATCCATACTTACCTGGCGAAGATTTTCAGCGGCCAGGCAGACGGTCTTCAATGTCGGACTCTCGAGATCTTCGACTCGTTCGATTTCGCAGACCGTGCATGGCGCGAATCAAACCATATGATAGAGATTTGTCTCTGGAATCCTGATGACCAGGGCCGGATTCGAAGATCCGACCGAATCCCTGACACCATTCCCGGCATCAGTCGGTTCCAGCAAGTTGTGCTGCACCAGGGCCGCATTGAACGCTTTTTCCTAGATGCCATCAAGGAGCACAGTGACATCCTCGTAGAACGCGGAGTGTTGCCCACTGCGTTTGAATTCGATGCCACCAAGGCAGACGACTTTAACGACTACCCGATCAACGTCACCGTGCGCAGTCTCTCGGACGAGGAGTCTACACCGCAGCAGCAGCAACAACAACAACATCACAAGTCCGGTGATGGAAAGGAGACCACCGTCAGTGACGGACTCTTCCGGAGTAATCTGGCTGCCGACGACACGGATGACCTGATTCGGTCCGCAGAGAGCGATCCCGCAGTCGACCGAGTCGAGTCAATCAAAGCCAAGTTCCTCGTTGGCTGCGACGGAGCACACTCCTGGGTCCGTCGCCAGCTGGGCTACCAGCTGGAGGGTGACTCCACGGACTATATTTGGGGAGTCCTCGATATTGTCCCCATCACCGATTTCCCAGACATCCGACAGCGCTGTGCGATCCATTCTGCGAATGCAGGCAGCGTCATGGTCATTCCACGTGAGAATAAGCTGGTTAGACTTTACATCCAATTGCAAGCAACGGAACATGCACAGGCAGGAGGCAAAGCAGATCGGTCCTGGATCACGCCGGGAATCATCCTCCAATCAGCCCAGAAAATTCTGCATCCTTACAAGCTCGACTACTCCTACTGCGACTGGTGGACGGCTTACCAGATTGGCCAGCGCGTGGGTGACCAGTTCTCGCTGAAGGAGAGAGTCTTTTTGGCGGGCGATGCAGTCCACACCCACTCCCCCAAGGCCGGGCAGGGCATGAATGTGAGTATGCAAGACAGTAAGTTACGCAGCAGCCACCTCAAAATAATCTGGGATGGAGAATATATCGCTAATTGCTCGTTTCCAGCATACAACCTAGGATGGAAGCTCGCGCATGTCGTGAAAGGCTACAGCGACCCAGCCATTCTCAAGACATACCAGTCTGAGAGAAGAAAAATTGCCCAGGATTTGATTGCTTTCGACCACCGGTTTTCCAGGCTCTTCTCGGGTCGTCCTGCGAAAGATATCATGGACGAGGAAGGTGTAAGCATGGAAGAGTTTAAAACGGCCTTTGAGAAGGGCAATGAATTTGCCAGTGGCATTGGTAAGTACCGAGTAATTTTCCATGATAAGAAATGTAACAAGGAGAATAAGAAGCACCTCACACTAACATTTCAATCAGCGGTCAACTACGGCAGCAGTATCATCGTTGCGAAAGAAGGCGACTCGGCGAAACAAGGGGACGGTACAGATGTGGCAAGCCTGGACAATACCACCTGCGTGATCAGCAAGCCCCAAGTGGCAACTAAGATCGACGTCGGCAAGCGTATGCCAAGTTTCAAGGTCCTGAATCAATCGGACGCCCGCCCGTACCATTTCCAAGAATTGTTGAAAAGCAATGGGAGATGGCGTATCGTGGTATTCCCGGGAAAATTGGGCCTCGCCCCGAACATGCGACGAATGCAAAAGCTAGGCGCAAGACTTGAGTCGCCTGACTCATTTCTCCATCGTTATACTCCTGCCCACCAACCGATCGATAGCGTGATTGAAGTGTTGACCGTTCATGCCGGCCCGAGAGAGTCTCTCGAGCTCTTGGACCTCCCAGAGTCCTTCCATCCGTACAGCGAGACCATGGGCTGGGATTATTGGAAGGTCTTTGTGGATGATCAGTCTTATCATGAAGGTCATGGCCAGGCTTATGCTAATTATGGAATTGATCCCATCCAGGGAGCGAGCGTTATCTTGCGTCCTGATCAGTATGTGAGCTGGGTTGGTAAGGTTGATGACTATGAAGATATGGAGAGGTTCTTCTCGGCTTTCATGAGACCGCGACAATTGGAGAAGGAGTGAAGTAATAGAATTCGCCAGTTCTTTTGTAACCTGCAGCTCCTTACGACACGTTGGTGGACTTCGATGATTTTACATTCTTTCTATACTCCCCGTTGCAGCGAATCTTTAAGTCATCCGATAGTGAGGTGAAAGATTATGCTATCCACACTGGCGTTCTTCGAAAACCCTTTACCTGGGGTTCTGGTTCCGAATGAATGCACCATTTGGATTCAAAGCGATGTAGAAGACATTTTTGGTCGTGTCCTTCAATACATGTACAATTGAGGCTATTTTATTCCCATCACGGGACCTAGGACTGTGGAGTTAGAAAGGCCGTGGTCTGTCAACTGGGGTCCTCCGCCTGAAACCACAGCACAGTCCTCCCTTCACTTCTGCACGTAATATCACCCGAGGTGTGTCTATTCTCAAGCCAGATTTAAGCTGTGTTTGATCTGTTTGACGGGCTGTGCCCACTATCATTGGAATGGACGAAGCTCAACACTCTGCCGTGTGCAAATCGGTCGGACGTGCTTTCACGATGAACACACTGCTGGATTACGAGAAGTCAATAGAAGCGACTGGAACTTGTTCGCCACGACGAGATCTTGGGTATCATCATGTCGACCATCGGCGCAGGGGCCGACACCACCGCAGGTACTCTGACATATACCTTGTACTTTCTTTCAAGCATCCTATCGCAAAAGAGAGACTCGAGCAAGAGATCGAGGAGAACCTAGCGAGAGAAAAGCCCTCCCACCAACCCAAATGGGCAGAAACAAAATGCGCTCTACTCTCAAGTCCTTGTGGTTGTCAGTATGGTCTATCTCTCTGCGGTCACAGGAGTCGATCCTGCAACTGGAAGTCTTGTAGAGGGAACAGTGGTAGCTCCCACCATCAGCTAATAATTGGGTGGCTGAAGTTTCTTGCTAAATATTTACAGACTCCGGTATTGGAAAACATCTACCAAATCCTAGAGGGAGCCGGCAGCCACATTGACAAAAGTGTAAGTGCGGGTTTGGCCCGACACATTATATTATCAGCAACTGACTGTACATCCGTAGGTCACAGTGAACATCTTCCTGACTAGCATGTCAGACTACCATCTTATGAACCAAGTCTATTCGAAGGCATTCAAACGGGAGATTAGCGTAAGTTATACTAAAATTGCTATGATCTGTTCCGTTGGATCTGTTGGATCATTACATGTTGGTATGGCCTGGCTCAAGCTTAGGCCCTCTATCAAGTTGTTTGATGGAGGCAACGAAAATGCATGAAATTACGTCTACGTAATTTCTTTCCTTCAGATTTGCCAATTCGATCAGTAACCAGGGCGTATTGGATATATAATAAAGAACTACCGACCCCCCAAGATTGGAACCTTGGAAGTCAGCAATAGAGGGTACTTAGGGCTTAGTGATCAGGCAAGAAGTAAGCATAAAAAATGGGTATATTCTATCTACATGCGATTACACAGAGTATATGTGCGATTTTCAATCCGATACAGCCTTGAGAGCATCAACAGCCACATCGCAGCCCCACCGAACCAGCTTCATCTCCTCATCAGACACAATATCAGTCTTCGCAACAACCTTCCGAACAAAGAAGATCAAGCCCTTGCCGATATGCGGTGTCTCCTTAACACGCAAGAAAATTTGCATCAAGGCTTGTTCATCCTTGGGAGCTTCATCCGCCTTGGAGCTCTTGGACTTCTTCTTTTTCTTAGACTTTTGGGACTGCTGAATGAGACTAATAATCAAGATCTCCACGAAAGTCTTAGTCTTCGGCTGCAGATACGCAAAATTGAGGGTCTTCAGGATGCCCAGCGTCAAGCTGCCGTCCGCAATCAAGCTGCTGTACATCTTGGCCAGGTTGACCACAGCCTTCATGGGGACTCCGTTCTCCTCGTCATCTGGATCGAAGCTATCGTCTTCATCTTCGTCCATATCACCTCGCTCGCCCATTCGCTTGAAAATGTTCCAGAGGGCGAACATGAAGGACATCTTGATGCGTCGGCCCATGTCGCCGCAGATACGGCGGGCAATGAGGGTATAGTATGGGTTGTGTGCCTGTTCCTCCATGGCACAGTGCAGCAGGACACGAGGGATCTCGAATTCCTGAGCGCGTTTCAGGCGGAGCTTCATTAACCGGACGTGTGCGTCTTGGAAATCTGTGGCGGACATGATGGCGACAAAGATTGATCGGCGAATGTCGGTGTTCATGCGATGAGCCCTGGCGAGGTTGCCGTAGTCGGGTTCACCTTCACTTTCATCGTCTTGGACGTGGCTGTGATTCATTGGCAGACCGGCAATTTCTTGCTGGGCGGTTACGAGAGGGTCTTCCTTCCAGCTTGCGCCGACTAACCACCACTTTCCTTTCTTCGCTGAGTTGTGGATATCGTCGCGGGAGATGTTGATGGGCTCGGATGCACGGATCACCCGGGAGTTGTTTAGGGAACCCAGGATCTTGCGCATTTTCGTAATGTGCTCTGTGGCGATACTGGCGCCGGCTGCGGCTGAAGACTTGACGCGGTTGTTCTTCAGGTCTGTGATAGTGTCGATCATGAACTTTGTTCGGACGGACAGGCTAGCCTCGCCGGCCTTTGCTACTGCGGGCTGAATGAGTAGCACAATATCCTTGAGCGAGGATGGGTCGTCCTGTCGGAGCTGAGGGCCGGAATCTAGGAACATGTTAGTGTTGCGCGTACTTGTTGGGTACTAGATCACTTACTCCGGATAACCTTGAGCAGGAGCTCGGTGTTGTTTTCCGTCATTTCCTGTAGGTAAATGCGAATATAATCGAACATCAATGCGGAGCCAATGACGTGGAAGTTGTAGAGCTGCGAGAGAAGGGACATCAGGTTGGCAGTCTCCTTTCCTTGGAACGTTCCTCGCTCATCACCATTGGCATCAAGAGTTTCAACAACCTTCTGTATAATCTCTGCACCAAAGTCCATGCCCAAAAGCTTGTATAACGCTGCAATGAAACCGGCGTGTAGAATGAGAAAAGTATCCGATAGAGCAGCCCTTTCACAGATCAGGCCCATGAGTAAGTCAATCAAGGTAGAAGTGACGTGCTGGCGTGGGTAGTCTCGGTAAAGCTTTTCGAACTCGGAGACAATCGAAATCATGTTGGCCTCAGACAACTTGTTCAGCTGTCCCTGTGCCTGGCGCTTCAGTCGAGTAAGAGATTCACTCTCTGGATCGGCGCGCGCTCGCAATGAAGGTGGAATGTATTTTTGGGCCGACGCTTCAGGTTTGGGGACCGGAGCGACATAGGGATTTTCTTTTTTCTTAGGTTCTTTCTTCTCTTCGTCATCGAACCCGTCAAAGTCACTGTCATCAGCAGCCTCTTCGTCGTCCTCGCTCCCAAAGATCCCCTCGTCGAGGTCAACGTCCTCTTCGCTGTCCTCTTCGTTATCCTTTGTCTCGGCTTGTGCTTGCAAAGCTTTAGCCTTTTGTCTCTTGCTCTGCAACCAGTCGTCGGCTTCTCGTTTGCGCTTGCGATTCTCGTCCTCTGAACCGTCGCCACCACCGCCAAGGTCACCTAGCAGATCGTCTAGCCCGTCCTCCTCGAATGCCTTAGAAGTCTTGCCCTTCTTGAGGCCAAGCTTCTTTTCCAATGCGGCGATTTCGGCATCATCTTGCGCGAGCTTGGACTTGATGCCTGCAGGCACATGGGCCCCAGACGGCACATCTTCTTCAGACTCGTCTTCGGAGGCGTCTTCGCTTTCATCGTCTTCGTCCTCATCTTCATCTAGGTCTATTTCCAACTCAGACTCGGATTCGGACTCGGGTTCCTGTGGTGCTTGCGTCTTCTTCATAATCGACTTGGGCTTCTGGGCTGCTTCCTTAGATTTCGGCTTCGTCTGTGGCGCACTGCGTCCTTCATCGTCCGAGTCTAGGTCGAGATCCTCTTCCTCATCACCCTCGCCCCGAGCCGGCGGTTCGTATCGCTGAAAGTTTTTCTTATTCTGTGGTGCTGCATGTCGTCCTTTCTTCTGCGTCCGCTCATTTTGGCGACGTTCTTTCCGCGAGGCCGGTCCGTTAAGGCGACGCTTCTTTTCACCGTAGGTATCGCGGATTCCCAACTCAGATCGTAGATGCCGGGGCAAGGAAGTCGTGTTATGCCTAGCACGCGGCATTTTGGCGTACTGCAATGTATTGTCTGCTCAAGAGAAGAGAGCAAATGGTGGACCCCGATATCAGGTACAGCCAGGCGGTCGACAACTTTTTTCACTTTTCTGCCGCGTCAAAACCAAGGCGGAGAACCGGCGCCCACAGCGGAGTTTCTCCCCCACTGCGAGGTTGTTCCCAGCTGTCAATTGTATATCGATCAACTGCTCCAGCTTTCAGATCGGTCAATTCCCGTGCGCATCGGACAACAATATCCCAATATGGCGCCGCATTCATCCCACGATGAGGTAATTTTTGTTCCTCGTGTTCTTCTCGACCGCTACGCTTCCCGCACATGCGATCAACATCACCAACTCCCTAGCTATATATCACTAACATCGGTCACCGCTAGTTCTTCTCATCCCTCACCGATCTCCTCTCCAAAACTTCCTCCCAGGCCCACGGCTCCGTATACCTCACTCAAAAACCCCTGATCGATGTCCCCGGTGCAACGACCACAAACTCTCAACCATCTATCCTCATCCGGGCCACAGATGGCAATACCAATGCGCCAAACCCCAAGGCTACGAGTAAAGACGGCAAAATTACCAAGAGTGCATCGAAGGCTACAAAGATCAAGCTCTCCACAGTCGTCACCCCAGATGATCTGGAGGCATTCTACGCCCGGTATGCGGAGGTCTGCAAGGCAGGCATGACCGGGTTGAAGAAGCGGGATCGCAGAGCTAAGAAGGCGAAGACTAAGGGTGGTGCTGCCAAGGCTATCAAGGCATAGGTTCGCTGTTCGGTCTGCGTTTTCTTCGGATAACATCGTCTGTGGTTCGGACCTGGCACACGATCTGTTGATGGCTTCGTTTTCTCATGCATTTGCTGGCGTTATATGGTGGCTCTGGCCTTTCTTGTTCTGCACTTTTCTTCTGATGCGAGCTTCATTCTCAAGTGTACATATTACCCTGCACTTGTGTTACACGAGCGCTGTCTTTGTTCATATGAGTCTTACGGGACAGAGAAATGAACAGCCCTCGGTATCATGACTTATTGGGCTAGACGTTCATATCTCAACTCAGCCACACGAAACTGGCTGGGAAATAGCTACAGCTACAGAATTTAGCGAGAGATGCTTGAAGGTGATTCGTCTGGTAGATCAATCCCATAGAAAAAGCTCTCAAAAACTATACAATGTGTCAATTAATAACTTCGTAACATGATCCCGTCATTCCTCCAGTGCATGCAACGCTAGAATACAATCCATGCCAGGTATGTCCATCCATGAGTCGTCCGAGTTAGTATCAAATATTCATAAAAAAAGCATTAGAATCAAGTGTGTCGGTGTGATAGGGAAGAATACAAAGTGTTAAGCATTAAAATGGGCGTAAAGAGAAATGGTGCAAGAAGGGGGTACGGTGCTCCAAAATGAGAGTGGTGCTCCGAAATGAGATGGAGAAAGAAGGGGTCCAGCAAACCGACTAGTCCAAGTCCCAGGGGTCCAGTTTCCGGGTGATCTCAGCATCCTCGTACTCCGAGGATACTTGAGGCTCCAACGGGAAACTGAAATCATCCACTGGAGGAGACTCGGTGCCGGTTTTCCGGGTATTAGTTAAGGGTTCACGTGGGGTGGTGTTGATGTTTGGGTTGATGACAATGCGCGCAGCAATGTGAATGAGAATAATAAAAAGGTGGACTGGCGGAACCAAGACTAGAGTGAGAGCCTTGGAGAGGAAAGATGTGGCATCGTCGCCGTGGGACGGTCGGTATAAGGCCGACGAGGGAGGCATAGGCGAGACATCGCGTTCTCTTGTGGCCTTTGCGCGTCGGCGGAATTCGACGCTCATGTGGTCGAAATCGGTATTAGGAGCAGGAGGCCGAGTGGCAGGCCGCGAGCGAGTCTTGGTGTCTGATATCTTGGTGTCTGAGAATGCATCTGTAGAGCGCTTTGGAGAAGTATCTTTGTTTGTGTGATCGAGTGGATGCTGGGCAGATGCTGCGTTGACTTTCGGTGCATCACTTGGCAAGCTATTGCTGGCCGAGGACTGTGATTTGTTGCAAGGACTTAAATCCGCAGTTTCCAGATGCGAGATTGTTTCATTCGCATTTGGCCAATCAAACATATAGCTTTGCTCTGGGAGGTCATGACCTCCCGCGGACGTAGGACGAGTGGAGACTGAATCTGGCGAACCGGGCTCAACTGAATGAAATGACTCAGGACTGGACGCGAAAGAGACATCATGATCAACATCTTGGGTGTCTTCATGGGCGGATTGAATCTCCACTTTGACTGTTGGCTTCACTGCCAACACTGCTTCCGGCTGGACTGTGCGTGTGGATTCAACATGCAACACAATTTCAGGCTCAAGCTCGTCAGGAATTGTAGGCGGGGCTTCCGTAACTTTAGGCAAATCCTCAGCCTCTGTTTCTACTGTAGGTGGAGGCATCGCTTCTTGTCCAGATGCTGATCCGTGCTCGGCTTCAGATTCGCCCGCGACTTGAGATTCAGGTTCAACGTTGGCAGAGAATGATTCTGGTTCGGTAACTGGTTGCGGTGTAACCTCAACACTGGACACATCTTCGGTCTTTCGCTCAGACTCTGGGTTGATTTCATCATTTGAAACCGACGTAGCCTCGAATTTTGCAAGCAGGCTGGTGAAAGTCTGTGGTGTTTCAGTCACCGAGCGCCTAGAAGGCCCAAGATACCTGGGAGGGTCCAGCGTATCAACAGGGGACGGTTCACGATCATCGGGAATGGTCTCCAGAATGGTGCTACTAGCCTTGTGCGAGGTAAATCCGCTGTCATCTGTACAGTTGCCATCGGTCTCGTCTCCAGTGCTCGCCGAGTCAATCCATTCCGATCTGATTGAGGAAGGCGATGGTGTTTCTTGCGGGGACTCTAAGATGGTGGGCACGCTTTCTTTGCGGTCTCTGGGCTGGTCTTTTGGTCGCCAAGCCTTCTTGCGTCGAGGTGCCATCGCATCGTTGGGGATTTCAACAGTGAACGCGCGTTTGAAAGGACATGGTGTAACCTCATATCGAAGAACTGTTGGCAGCGCAACTTTCAGGTCCGCGACCAAGCTCTGGTCGTCTTCTGTTTCGTATGGTATTTCGATGCGATAATATGTAAGAGGGCGAATGCGCAAAACAAATTTCGAGACACCGTCCACACACCAACACTGGGAGTTCTTCAGGATTGCATGAACAACATTCCCACATTTGAGGAACGCTGTAAGGCCGTGGACTTTCTCTAGTCTCAGTGGCGCTGTTGCGACCGTTCGCTCTGTAGCGGAGCGCCAGGGGAGTGTTTCGATAGTGTCAACAGGGTAGTCGAAGTCCGATGGCGATGAGCTAGAGGGAATAGGGGCGAGCGCCCTGGGGGCAAAGTGAACGATTTTCGCAGACGGATGATAAAAGATTACATTTTCGGGGGTGTTCGGGACGCTCGAGCGTCGTTGCGCGTGAGGGTTTAACTTGGTGGGAAGGGTGAGGGAGCGACGAAGGGAGTGTATCTGGCCTAAGGGCTCTGGGGACTCAGGCATGGTTCATGGATGCGATCGAAAGGAGTGGAGATATGGAGATGCTAAAGTGACATATTTGTACAAAGGAGCCAGGGTATATGCAGATGGACTTATCTGAGGCTGTGTCGCGCTTGCGGAGAGATGCACGGCGGCCTCAGGCGTGGATCAGGTGACCATGACGCAGCTTTCAATGGACGCCTGGCCCTCCACTGCTATTTTCTGTTTCACTTAAAGAATGCTCCTTGCTTGGTGATCGTCTTCTTTGTAGTGGAATTCGAGGGGACCTTCCAGGCTCTCAAGAGACAACCATGTCGAATTTCGAGCCTAATGCCGTGATCCGCGGCTTCCAGCTCACTGTGGTGGGAAGTATGTTTCCCTAGTCTGTGTTTTCTGCAGCTCAGGTCTCTTCCAGCCTCGAGTTTGACCCTTGATCATGCTGTGCTCCATGTCGTATGTGTATAGCTTCGGCAGTTCCTGCCAAGACTTGCAACGAGGAGCTTGCAGTGGACCTATCCAGCCACCTCTCATCACTTTGCTTGGAATGATCACTGAAATGATCCACAGTTGTGCATCTGCTGACGAGAGCTTCTAGCTGTTCGTGCACTGAGCAACCCCGAGCTTTTTAAATACGAGCATTTCCGCCAAGCAGCCCTTGCTATCGCCATTGGCATTGTTATCCAATTGGCCATTCAGATTCCGGTATGTTCCCACTTCTTCATGTCTAGGAAACGGATCTCTAACTTAATCTCAAGATCATAAGTGTCAAATTCTCGATCTACCTTTTGTCATGGGTAGTCAACCTCGAGCGCGCGGTCTGGGATGACAAGCTTCTCAATGGCTTGGACTTCATGAACAAGTCTGTTCTTCAGGTGCCATTCTTGCTCATGACCCTGATGCGATATGTGACCCCCACACTGGATGAGATGTGGGTTCTTTGCTCCACAACTATATTGACTTAGATGGCTAATTGTTTGAATAGCTTCATGCAATCCATTCAATGGGTGGACATAACGTACATCCAAAAACATAAAACGGAAAATCCTAATACACTGCGTGCTATGTATTATCCCAATCTTGTGCAGTACTCTGCCAAAGGAGGTTCGAGTGCTTCTCAGCCGATCCCTCAAGCCCTCATGGCATTCTTCAATCGCTACGCAAAGAAGATTGGTATAGGACTCGGGCTTTACCTACTATCCATGGTCATCATCATCGGTCGCTTCGTTATGCCTGCGGCAAGTTTCTACAGTTTGCGAAACCATATCGGCACTCAACCCGCTGCCGTGATCTTTGCTGCCGGCTTGCTTCTTCCCAAGCAGTACATCATCATGTTCCTTCACACCTACTTTGCTTCCCGAAGTTTGATGCGAGAACTTGTAAGTCCAGCCGTGTTCTTCAAACCATGAGATTATTCTAACGGTATCTAGCTCGAACCGTACTTCTGGCGCATCAAGTTCACCCCCGAGCAAAAACGTCGGTGGTTCCGGGACCGAGAAGGTGTCTTGTTCGGCTTCGCTTTCGCTTTCACTGTTGCCTTACGAACCCCATTCATCGGCGTGTTGATGTATGGCATTGCCGAAGCCTCCACGGCGTACCTTGTCACCAAGATCACAGACCCGCCTCCACCTCCTGCTGAAAGTCAAGATTTCGCCGAGAGTCAGGTTACCTGGAAGAACAAGCATGATTTCCTGCGCTTGTCTCTTGGCAACCTTGACAAGTTGAATGTAGACATGGACCAGCGTGAGGATACCAACGTCCCTACAAAGAAGTTTTCTTAAGGCATCGGAATACGGAAGTGAGGGTATATCCCAGAAATTAAGCATGGATCCGGATGTTTCATAGATCTCGTGTATTCAGAGCGACAGAGCATACGAAGGAGTGAAGCATGATTTCATCCTGTAAGTCACAAAAATGCATCACATTTGAGCCTATTCACATAGCCCAATATATATGAAGTGGCTTATCGGTTTCCGGGGGTATGCGAGATAAAGCGATGATAAGCCCCAAGTAGCAAAGAATTCCACTCGGTATTATTCATAGCATATACATCCGACCATCTGCGGGGTAATGTGTTATCGTGAGGGGAGGACTTGATATAATTGACCGTGCCCTCTCAGATTGGGGTAAACTACTACTAAACTAGTCAGTTCATAACCACCCCAAATAACTACCAGATCTCAACGCCTGCAAATATGGGTATCAAGGGAATCCGTACTGCTCTAAAAGTCGATCTCAACAAGCCTGCAAATGAGCAGCCCGGTTTACATGTAAGCTCCTATATTCGTACCCTCGTAATAGAGGGAATCTTGCTAAATCACCAATAGAACAGATGGCATCCAGATGGTATGCAAACCTTCCTCACAACACCCTTGCGTTGAACAGATATATTAACACAGATCTTCCGAATTAATAGTCCCTGCCTGTGGCAAGATTGCGAACAACGAAGTTGTCAAAATTGAATGTCTCGACTGGACAGGAGGACAAATCGGAAACAACGACTCCGCCGACGACATCAAGAATGTAGACCTCACTCACATCCATTATCTCTCGGGACCGTTCGACATTGAGACTGCCGAACCCGGCGATATTTTACTTGTTGAGATTCAAGATGTTCAGCCATTCGAAGAGCAGCCCTGGGGATTCACGGGTGTCTTTCACAAGCAGAATGGAGGAGGTTTCCTGGATGAGCTTTATCCAGAAGCGTAAGTACTTCTTCATGCTCTCCTACACACCCGTCCTAATATTTGCCTTAGCGCAAAGGCAATCTGGGACTTTGAAGGCATCTTCTGCTCATCTCGGCACATTCCACATGTTCGATTTGCAGGGCTGATCCATCCTGGAATCATGGGATGTGCTCCTTCGGCCGAGGTCCTGGCGGAATGGAACCGTCGCGAGGGCGAGCTCATCGCCGCAAACACAGTCGCTGATCGGATTGTTGCCCAGCCGCCGCTGGTCACAAATGCCCATGGCGGAAGTGCTTCGGAGGAAGTCAAGGCCAAGATTGCCAAGGAGGGAGCTCGGACTATCCCAGTAAGTATTCATTCGGCTTAACAGTCAATCTGCGTGCTGATTCCTGTAGGGCCGACCGGAGCATGGCGGAAATTGTGATATCAAGAACCTGTCCCGTGGATCAAAGGTATACCTCCCCGTCCACGTTCCAGGCGCCAAGTTCTCAGTCGGAGATCTACACTTCTCGCAAGGAGATGGCGAGATCTCATTCTGTGGAGCCATCGAGATGGCCGGTATCATCACTTTGAAATTCTCAGTCATCAAGAACGGCATGGCCAAACTGGACATGAAGTCACCCATTTTCAATGCCGGGCCTGTGGAGCCGCAGTTTGGTCCTGGAAGATACCTCACATTTGAAGGGTTCTCAGTTGATGAGAAGGGTAAGCAGCACTACTTGGATGCTACTGTCGCTTATAGACAGACTTGTCTGCGGGTGATTGAATATCTTCGGCGCTATGGATACAGTGATTATCAGATCTATTTGCTGCTTAGCTGTGCACCTGTGCAAGGACACATTGCTGGCATTGTGGATATTCCTAATGCCTGTACTACACTTTCAGTGCCGATGGATATCTTTGACTTTGATATTCGGCCCGAGGCCGATGTAGTCAAGAAGGATATGGGAACTTGCGCTTTTGTGAGCAAGTAAAAGAATATCATGGGGGCTCTCTAGCGGGAGAGTGTCTATCTATCACAAGTCATTCGGATCACAGAATGCAATTTCTTTATAGTTGACCTTCCATCTCTCTTCCAATATGTGTCCACCCATCAGCCTTCACATCTTGGAAATCCATCAACTTGTCAGGTCCTCCAAACCGGTTCTGGGTAGATTTCCAATCTCGCTCAATAGCAATCTCTGGCCTCCAACGAACAACTTCTTTCAATTCCTTTTGCAATTTTCCTTCCAATGCATCTGCAATAAACCCACCAATAGTAGGCATCTGCATAGCACCATTCCCAGATCCACCAACAGCAACCACGAGCGAAGCATACTCTGGGTGTCTGTCAATCAAAAAAGCACGATCGACGGTATCGGCATCCCAGCAGATACGAGCAAAGGAAAAAGGTCGATTAGCAAGATGAGGCATAGTATCACGCAAGAAATCCCGAGCTCGTGCTTCAGCTTCAAGTGGAATCTGCTCCTTGGCAAATGGTATGCTCCTCTTCTCACCTTGATGATCGGGATCCGCCACAAAGTTGCAGTATCCTGGATGCTCATCGCAGATCTTGAGCTCGTGTTTCTCTTCATCGGGTTCCATGAAGAACCCTTTTGCAATGTTAAACAGGACAGGAAGATTCCGGTATTTCTTCGCTTCCTCGGGCGTCATTCGAATATGGCTCAAAGTCCAAGCAGTCGGACGCAGCTGCTTTTTGAAATCTAGCAGCCGATCACTTCCAGCACCAGCCGCGAGGATGGTATGCTCTGCAAGATGTTTCTGCCCATCTGCTGTTTGAGCTCCGACCACATCTCCATCTTTGTAGATCAAGCCTAGGACATTCCCATGCGGGGAGCCAGTTACAAAATTCACACCTATACTCTGCGCCTTGCTGTATGCAGATACCATAGCCTTTCGAGCATGGATCCATCCTGCACCGGATCGGCTTATCCAGCCTTTCCAGCCTGGAAATTCCCCGGTCAGGACGCCTGGTGGCATGGTTTGGCGGAAATCCTCGGCTGTTTCCAGGGCCACCCAGTCGCCTTCGGACTGGTCGACTTCGTCGGTTTTGATATGCTCTATGAGAGCAGGTGTATGCCCGGAAACAATGAATCCAGTTTCATGGAAATAGGGTTGAAAGACTGGGTCGTTCGTCCAGCCATTCAAGGCGGCTCTGGTGCATATCGCAAATGCAATACTTCGAGCATCAGGGTTCGGGGCTGCGGAATGTCAGACAATTTATATATTTGGAGAATGCATTAGAATTGAAAGGGTTGTTACATCTGAGTTCCTTATGCTCCATGATCTTGTTGATGTCGTTCCCCGCCGCAATGGGCGACGGCACCGGGTGAGGGTCCAGTACTTTTACATTTTTGTATCCCCGACGGGCCAGATGGAGGGCAGTTGAGCATCCCCATGTACCAGCCCCGATGATCAGAATTGATGAGCTTTTGTTTAATTCGGGTGCCATTGTGAGGTGATAGAACGCCGTTGCTGTCGATGAGGGGTGTGAGAGTCGGGAACTTCAACGGGAGCGAAGATTGAAAGCGGCCAAGCCCATCAGTCATATGATAGACAACAAACTTGAAGCGACATGGAAACTTTCGGGCAAGCTGAGACTCGTATGCTTGTCACCTTAGCGTGTCGCCTGGACCTTCCCACCACTTGAGCCTGGGGTAAACTTCTCCGCACGGCCACATCTACATCTTTCACTCGACCTCGGTCTTATCAATATTATCACAATGGGAGATTTTCACACCAATGAGTTTCCTCTCAGTATCGGTGATCACTGTCAGTGCTACCGCTTGGAGCTTCCAATATTTATTCCCCTCACCAAGTGGCTTATCTCAGAGCATGAATGGTTGGTAAACAAGGTCGGTTTGTTCCGACACGTGGTGATAATAGGCGTAAAGGATCACATATCTCGTGTAGCAATATGGTATGGAATGGGTATATAAAGGAGGGTTTTCTCAACTGGTTTTGGGTACCCACATTCTGATATGCAAATATGGCTCGATCGGATGATATACAAACAGATGTCCCTGGTACAGTCTACTTGGTTGATAGTAAGTACCAATACACTCAATACACACTTGCTAGATGGAAAAGGACTGTGATGCTAACATCTAACACTCAGCATCTCATAATCTACAAGATGCTGCTCGCGCCGGCCAACAGGACATCCTTCTAATCCCACAGCCTTCAAACTCGCTGGCAGATCCTCTAGTATGTATCCAAGCCATGTCATGTCAACATCAAATCGAAGAGAAGAAAGCATTTTAATCATGAAATTCAGAACTGGAAACGCCTCAAGAAGTGCTGGTCACTATTCCTAATCTCCTTCTACGCCTGTGTATTCTCATTCGGCGAAAATAACTGGGGAGCAAGCTGGACAGTGATATCATCCGAGACAGGCGTCAGTCTAAACAACATGAACGGCGGCTCTGCTCTGAATTATCTACTTCTTGGATTCTTCAATATCATCTGGATCCCCTCGGCAATGAAGTTCGGTCGAAAGATTGTTTACATTTTGAGTTTGCTTATCCTTCTTGGTGGCAGTGTTTGGGGTGGATTTTATACGGGCACTACGCAATACTATATCATGCTGGCTATCCAGGGGGTTGGTACTGCTGCGTACCAAGCGCTGATTCAACTTACTGTGAGTGCCCATGTTCTTTATATGCTTCACTTGGTTTCTCACCTTTCCCAGATATTCGATATGTTCTTCGCCCACGAGCGTGGTCGGATGGTGTCAATTTACATCTTCTTTCAACAACTCGGTTCAATCCTCGGCTTGATCTTGGGAGGATATATCTCCGATGGGATTGGTTGGCGATGGAGCTCGCCTATTGTAGCGATTGCATGCGTATGAAATCCATGACTCTTGAAACAGATGCGTCAGTTAACATTTTATCACAGGGCATCTTGATTCTACTATTCATCTTCACATTCGACGACACCATGTTCCCACGATATCGATTCAACAGCGCCTTACATATCGGACTAACTGTCTCAGACGCACCTAAAGAAGAACAGAATAAGTCCGACAAACACCCCAGATCGGAGTCGCCTGTCTCTACAGCGACAAGTGAGGATTCCCACGAACAGATCCCAGCTCGGAGCTACCGGCAAAAAGTCGCGTTAGTGCACTATTTCCCAGACGATAAAACAACCTGGCTACAATATTTCCGACGACCATTCTACCTTTTCGCCTTCCCCAACATTGTCCTCGCCGGTATCCAATTTGCATTCGGATGCACAGCAGGCATAGTATCCTTCAATACCATCTCCGAGATTATGACCGAAGCACCATATAACTGGAGTGCCGGGTCGACCGGGTTGATATTCCTTGCTGCTCTGGTTGGGAACTTCCTAGGGTGAGTTTTCTCTTCCAAAGTTATCATGTCAACATTTATGAAGCCTACTAATCAAATTAAATAATCAGGATGGGCGTCGGCTCCCTTTCTGATTGGATTGTTCTAGTTCTAGCACGCCGAAACAAGGGATATAAAGAGCCCGAGATGCGCCTGTGGGCTTATATATTCCCTTTCATTTTCGGTGCTGTGGGATACTTTACTTATGGGTGGGCTGCGACATATGGCGAGCATTGGATGGCCATTGCGGTGGGGTTGTGTTGCTTGATTGCTCAACAGGTTTCTGTGACGAGTTTGGCGACGACTTATGCTATGGAATGTTTCGATGGGGTAAGTTATGGCTTTGCTTTGTTTGGCTCTTTCGGGTGGGCTTGCTAATGGTCTCTTTCCGTATATAGATCTCTGGTGAACTCGTCGTAGTATTGGCTATCTGCTCCTCGTTGATTAACTTCGCTATTTCTTTTTCCGTGCAGCCCTTTATTGATGCGACTAATTACGGATGGACGTTTACCTGCTTTGGCATACTGGTTGTCCTGTCTGTGTTGATGGGCGTTCCTATGATTATTTGGGGGAAGACATGGCGTCGAAAGTGTAAGGGGCGATATGAGAAGTTTTTGGCGGAAACAGGGCGTGATATCCATCCAGCCCTTTGATAGTCCGGCGATGAGTAGTCCAATGACATTCCTGGGAGAACGTACTTTACATACGTAGAAATTTGGCAATGTATATGTCTTCGTTGGCATGTAAACAACTGTCATGGTACAGGACGTGGTACAGGATAGTACGTCAGAACTAACCAAAGATCGATGTATATTGCCGAGGGATTGGATGTTATGTCATACATCTGGGGTCATTGGGGGCACATGGAGACCACGTCGTGAATCATGATAGAACAAAGGAAAAGAATCTGAACCACTAGCAAGAATCTTAAGAGAAGAACTTCTGGGCAGCAGCCTTATCCTTGGCCTCGCGGTCCTTGACAGTCTTCTTGACCTTGGCGATCTCGTTAATGATACCGGCATCGGTAGGAGACAGCTTCTCAGCCTCCAGGAGATCCTTGAGGGCGGCATCCTCTTCCTTCAGACCCTCATAGGCAACAGCACGGCGGAAGTAGGCCTTGGCCTTGTCGGCATCCTTGACTTGGGCAGCATCGCTGACCTGGAGCGCATAAGAAGCCCAGTTTTGAGCTTGACTGTACTTCTTGAGCTTATTTGCGAGCAGGGACGAGTTGGAGTGCAGGGTGAATCGTAGAGCCTTCATCTGCACGTTCAGCTCCTTGGGGTCGTTCTCACCAGCCTCGGGGAACTCGTTGAGATAGCGCAGACCTTTCTGGTATTTGTCGAGACCCAGGTTAAGATCTCCACTTTTGAAAGCGGTATTTCCGAATCCCTTGAGGTCGGAAGCGATCTTGAAGCAGAGCGGGGCGGTAAGCTCCTCGCCTTGGTGGTCCTCAGTGAAGTCCTCGTATGGGTCGCCTGTGGCATCCTGGACACGCTTCGTCGCATTCTCGTAGTCCTCTCCGGAGAGCTCACCACAGTCCACCACAGTCACATCGGTCAGGGGCTTGTCGGACTGGGTCTTCATGTTCTCGATGTTGCGAATGATGCTCTTGCCGTTGATCACCTCACCGAAAACGACGTGCTTGCCATCGAGGTGGGGAGTAGGGACAGTCGTAACGAAGAACTGACTGCCGTTGGTGCCGGGGCCGGAGTTGGCCATGGAGAGGAGGAAGGGACGGTCATGCTTGAGATCGAAGTTCTCGTCGGGGAACTTTTCGCCGTAGATCGACTCGCCGCCGGTGCCGTTGAACGCGGTAAAGTCACCACCCTGAATCATGAACTGCTTGATCACACGGTGGAAAATTGAGCCTGTATCGGAGTTGCGCGGTTAGTCGACGCCAATGCTGAATGGCGGGGTATCGGAGACATGCCTTTGTAGGTCAATTCCTTGCCCTGGGTACCAATGCCCTTCTCGCCAGTGCACAGGGCTCGGAAGTTGTCCGCGGTCTTGGGCACGACTGTTTATTTGTTAGTTTTCGGATTGTCGAGCGAGAAAATCATGTCGTACCATCGTTGAACTGTGTGACGCCCAAGGTTAGCTGCAAGCTCAACTAGCGAGAAATCTGAGCAACTTACAAGCTCAAACGTCACCCGACCAAGCTTGTTGTCGCCGACTTGAATGTCAAAGAAGACACGGGAACCTAGCTCTTCGTCAGTACTGTAACTCATCCGGGTAGATCGTCGGTGAACCCCGCAGACATACGCTGAGATGCCATGGCGGTGGAGTCAAAGGAATAAAGCAAAAGTGGAGAAGAATATGGAGGAAAGTGAGTTGATAAAAGAGAGTTGGCGGAGGAGAAATGTGAGGCACGTTGTGGGGGACAGCGCGGTTTTGTGGTTCAGGAAGCTTCCATGGCCGCTGCACCTCTCGGGTCATGTTGTATGTCTTTGTATGTCTTCATTGGGGTATCAACTACAGCTATTATACACTTCTATGTCTATTTTTCACTGCAGCAGTTCAGCTGGCAGTTGAAATTCAAATGTCTTCTTTATCTCCTCCTCTTCCGGCTTGTTATTGTCTTTCGGTTCCTTAGGTTCCTTCTTAGGGAGATTGGTGTTGATCTCGATGGTGACCTGCACGATATTCTTGTCAGTATGGATTCCATAGCGGCGAAGTAGGAGCCAGGAAGGCAAAATGTACCGCCGCATCTTCACTGCGGTAATCTACACCCACCGGCCCGTCGTTCTTCAGTTCGACCTCCATCATTGCCTGGAAGACACCATTTTTTACCCGGCCTGGGACGTAGGATTCGCGCATCTTGTCATAGAAGTAATCATAGACCCTCCGCGCTGTTTCTGGTTTGGCTGCATCGTGAAAATCAGGCTTGTTGCCTTTCTTCATCTTGGCATAGAGGGTGAATTGCGAAACTAAACCTGGCGTTAGTAGGTTCCCATACACCGGGAATATAGTCACATACCGCATAGTACTTCTCCCTCAATGTCTTGAACATTCTTCTTCCACTGCGACAATGTCAATTTGCCGCTCCTGTCATGTATAGTTCCAGGATTACACGTACTTGTGATCCATTTTCGTCTGGCCAGAATTTGGCCTTTAACACCTTATTCACCAGGTTCTCTGCATCCTTCTCGGTATCTTCTTGGCCAATACCAGCAAATACTAGCAGGCCCTTGCCAATAGAGGAGATCAACTCTGAATCGACGCTCACGGACGCCGATTTGACTCTTTGTATCACGACTGGCGGGGATTAGCGTGTTTCTGTATATCGAGCCGGATAGTCCTAACCTTTCATCTTGAGGAAGAAGGATAGAGAGGGTAAAGGGGCTAGGAATACATTCAACGTCAGTACGGAGTAACAGAACGTGTATAGCTTGGGATCTGGGGGCACAACTGGAGGTAAGGTGATAAAACAGCCTTGTAGCCCTTTAGGAAGGTGCAGAGACTGAGAGCGTATGACTCGCGACCCAAAACAGCGGAGATGCAAGAGGTGCAAACTGAAGTTGACGTGCTGGAGGAATCCCTCCCTCGCCTCTCCCCTCCGCCCCTCACCGCCTACCTGATCCAGCAACCACGAAGCTTTCCACCCCAGCGCGGAGAGGCATTCTGCGATCAAGTGTTAGCCCTTCATTGTCTGCAAGTGCGATTTTGACCCCATTTCCGATCTCAATTACTCCGATTGCAATCTCCCAACCGTGGGGAGTGCAAATAACCCATCCGTCCGTTTTAACCGCATCGAAATCCCGCCTGTGGACGGAGTCCGCTCCCACCGATTCCGTAATGGCGTCACGTAAGACGCAACAGGAAATCGACAAGACCTTCAAAAAGGTGTCGGAAGGCATTCAAACGTTTGAGGGCATCTATGAAAAGATTCGCCAGGCCACGAATCCCACGCAACGGGATAAGCTCGAAGACAACCTTAAGCGCGAGATCAAGAAGCTCCAAAGGTTCCGTGATCAGATCAAGTCATGGGCAGCTGGCAATGAGGTGAAGGACAAAGCCCCGCTCATTGAGCAGCGGAAGGCTATTGAAGTGGTGAGTGTCGTGTCCACATTCAATGCAGACCCTCCTTGGGTCGATTTAGCTAACCGCCTGTCAGTGTATGGAACAATTCAAGGCAGTCGAAAAGGAGATGAAGACGAAAGCGTACTCGAAGGAAGGTCTATCAGCAGCATCGCGACTCGACCCGAAGGAGAAAGAGAGAGTCGAGTGTTCCGAGTTCCTCTCAGGGATGGTCGATGAACTCCAGCTCAAGATCGAAGCCCTGGAAGCCGAAGAAGAAACCCTCCACGCACAGATGAAAAAGGGAAAGAAGGATACGAAAAAGGCAGACCGAATGGCCGATGTTGCGCACGTTACAGAACGACATAAGTGGCATGTGAACAAGCTCGAATTCCTCAATCGTTCGTTACAAAATGGCAACCTTGAAGTTGGAGCTGTGCAAGATCTGAAGGAGAGCATCAAGTACTATGTCGAAGAAGGAGGCAATCTCGATTACTCTGGTGAAGATGAGACCCTCTACGACGATCTAAATATCGAGGATGTTGAGGCACAGTTCGGCATGGGTGGAGATGGTGATCGCGTGTCATCACAAGATGCTCAATCCATTCAGGACGATGAACCTGAGCCGAAACCCAAAGCCAAGCCAGAGACCCCAGCACCGCGACGACCGTCCACGCAAATGAAGTCACCTTTGCCTGTCCTTGCTACTCTTCACCCGTCCGCTTCATCAAGTGCCACCCCGGGCATGAAGCCCGCTCCGCTCCCCACCCGACCCCCCGGTGAGACCCTCAAGTATGCCTCCGCCGCGGCCGCAGCAGCTGCCAGCGATAAAAGTGGTGTGGGCATCCTGCCTCTTCCCCCACCACCGGGTCTCAGCCCAGCCCTTTCCGTGGCAATGCCTATCTCCAAGCCCTCTTCCACCGCTTCGCCCATTGTGGCGCCAGCACAGCCTGTTGCCAAGTCAATAATGACACCGAGCACCGCTTCTGAAGAGCTCAGTGGGATCCGATCCAAGACGCCGGCCGGCGCAGCAGCCTCGAGTGCTTCATCGCCCACTCCCGCAGATAAGACCGCAACAACGAATGGGAAAGCTGAAACAGAAGGGACAGAAACTGAAGAATCGGTATATCATCTGCCCCCAGGTCTTCAAGATCTGGTACAATCATTTGACGTGACCAAGGCGCGTGCAACGGCGAATCCCTCGCCATCGGTGCAACGCCTACTGGCGGCATCATTGACCACATGTCCGGAGGCAGGAGACGCTGAAAAGCCTCGCCATTACAAGCCCCAGAACCCCTACAGCACCCCCCTATACTACCCACAGGAACCCCTCTCCATATTCGATGATCCCCGGCTGTACGATACAGGCAGAATTGACACAGACACGCTTTTCTACCTCTTCTACTACCGTCAAGGCACCTACCAGCAATACCTCGCTGCCAAGGCACTCCGTAATCAAAGTTGGCGCTTCCACAAACAGTACCAAACGTGGTTCCAGCGTCACGAGGAGCCGAAGAACATCACCGAGGAATTTGAACAAGGCACCTACCGGTTCTTTGATTATGAGAGCACATGGTTAGTTTCGACCTTCCGACCATCCCAGCGTCAACTACAGGAACTCACCACTTACGCACACTGAACAGGATGAATCGTCGCAAGGCTGATTTCAAGTTCGTCTACAAATACCTCGAGGACGAGTTATAACGTGTTCTTTTTTACATGAACCCGGGGACTTTCGCATCCGGTTGAGACCTGGTTTGTTCGAACTGCGTCGCCCGACGCTACGACTAGACTGGGCCGGATCGTGTTGAGGGATGTCACGGGGCTACTCTTATGTTCTGCTAGTACTGGTTTTGTTTCGGGGGATCGGGCAATGAGTGCAATGAATGGGCCTCAATGAGGGAGTTTTTATGTGTTTCCACTTGTTTGACTGGACCTCAGGTATCCTACATGGAGCATATGTAATACGAGAGAGTAGATTGTACACCAACAAAGCCGGATATGCAGTCTGCCTTGCTTAACCCGTGATCAGACAATAGGACATGCATAGAAGCCACTAAGAACAGTAGAACAAAAGGACCAAGGGGCCCGGGCGGAAGACATCTATCTGTACACATTGCCGGAAACATCCCCGTCGCTGCATGTGCATGTGACGAATCGCTTCATCTTTCCCCGGAGACAAGTGCCTAGTAACCGAGCCAAGACGCTAAAAGTGCGGGATTTTCTTTTCCAGAAGACGAGGATTAGCCAGGGGCTGTGCGGTCGCATTATATCATCTGCGTCGATCTGCGACCCCGGATTGGAGAGATCAAGTTCGCAAGGCTGCGTGGATCCCTACTCGGCACAACAGTCCCGAATTGGATACGTCAACACGAACAGAACAGAACATGAGCATGAGCATGATCATGAACCCCAAGTGCATGAACTCGACTCGAACATGTCACCTATGGGATTTGAACTCGAACTCGAAGCACCCTCGTATCACTCCGCCTAGACTCGAACACGTAGCGGAACATGAAACTTCAAACACGCTGCTAATGTCTGATGACGCCAGTAGGGGCTAAGCACCCCTATGCCGTCAGACCGTGAGAGACGCTAGAAAGACGCTAGAAAACACACAGAAGTCCATCCGCGAATGAGAACACGCGCTGTCGAGGAGGAGGGGGCAGATGCAGGTCTGTCTGCACAGGCTGACCGCTTCCCTGATTGTACAGGTTATCGCGAGGTTGTATTGGCTGAGACTTGAGACGTCCTCCTCTTGGCCCCCAATCATCGCCCAAACAAACCGGCTTAAGGGGCCGCTAGAAGCTCCGTAGAATGTCTTCCCGTTAGACTGAAATTCCCGCAGGAAATGGGCGGGGAGGCTGTGTGCTCTTGTCCACTCTGCTTCGAGTGGTCTTCTAGAAGTCATCCCCACGGCCATTTCACAGATGCCAAGAACACACTTGTCCCGTGTTGGCGTCTCGGGCTACAAGGGCTGGTATTTAGGTCATGCACCTGTAGAAACATAAAAGGTAGGGCACGGTACTCTTTGAGAAACATTTTCCTGTACATTTATACAAATATTCCGCCCCCAACAGCCGCTTTAAGATTTCCATAAATCACAAGGATTCCCACCGGCGTCTCATAATGGTAGGCGAAGCTTAACTTGCATAGTATTCTAGATCGCTGATCTTCCCTTCTCTTTAAAAGGCTGGCATCCCAATTCCTTCCAATATGAACCACAGATCTCTCTCAGATTCCTCCCTCGACATGCAATCCCCCTACTACCCAGACTCTTACTCCTCCTACTCCTCCTCTCCAGGCGGCATGGACTTTTTCTTCTACGGCGCACAGCCCGTCTACGATCCCCTCTGCGATCTCGACCCTATTAGTCCCTTCCCAATCCAAGAGGTCGCCGCTCCAGATGTATACAACATCACCAGCTCGCCCTACTACCCAACCACCCACGAATTCCCCGTCTTCGAGCGCCAAATCATGCCCCAGAGCGCATCAAGCTGCGCCAGCAGCTGTGCAAGCAGCAGCTTCAACTTCCCCGGCGAGGACATCGCTCTGCCCAACTACCCCGTCAGCGTCAGCGGGTACGAGTATGAATCCGGTTCAGACTCGCCGGCGCCTGCTTCCAAGTGAGCCTATCCTTCGTCGTCGCGATAGTCCATAGCAACAATGAGACCAATGCGCTAACATTTCTCTTTCTTTGTAGACCTGCCAAGCCATTCGGATGCGACGACTGCGGCAAGGCCTTCACTCGCTTCGCGGACTTGAAGCGCCACCAGTCGAGCGTTCACTACCCCGTGTTCCGCAACTGCCCTGTCGATCACTGCTCGCGGAAGGGCAGCAATGGCTTCCCGCGTCAGGATCACCTCGTCGAGCACCTCCGCTCGTATCACCACATGAATGTCCCCAAGCGGGGTGGCTGCAAGCGCGCTGCTAAGGAGATCTCATAATCGTCCGTGGTGCATTGCGTCCGTCCGCTTTACGATCTTACGACTTTGCCTCTGTTATCTGTGTTTCTATTCTTGTTTGATTCATCGATACGCTGTATCGCATTCCGGCTATGCATCGGGTTTCTGTATAGAAGACATGCGCCTCCTTTTCCTACTTTATCCTCTTTATTTTTGTGTTGATGTGATGCTTTTTTGTGAGCTGTCGGCTCCTTTGTTATGGTTATTGATTTTTTAGACGGGCATAGGGTTAGATGAGATATTGGTTTATTGAGCTCCATTATGAACGAATAACAACGATGACGATTTATTATCCATATTCTCCTGCAGTTTTACTGCGATTACGTTTCACCTTCTCAATTTGTTCATTGGGCCACTTTTTTGCCTTCGCGCCATTTCAATTTTTTCGTTCCCCTTTTTCGGGGCTCTGATCTGCAAGGATTCACTAACTTAGTGTTTACCTAGATGAGGTACCTGCAGGAGTAGATGTTATCGGTCACACGCTAGCTGGTTAGTTGCAGGATTGCATTACAGCTATGGTTCGAAAACAACGAGTCTCGAATATAACGTCTTTGTCGATCAAACCATGCTTCTGCTAGTTCGGGTCCCGAAGTCTCGCGGGAACTATAACCAAGAACAAAGAAAGTCAGAATACAAGGTGAAAAGTGAAAATGCAGATCATAAACTAAGTTAATTCTCGTGTTTGCTGTAACCCTGCACTACTCCTTAACAATTCCCCAAAACTCAAGACTTCACTCATCCTTTGAAACGCCGACACCATCACTGTAGATCATCACACCCTACAATCCTCAGCCCCATCCCCATGCACCGAATTGACCTTTTCAACCCATATATGTACCCGAGTTGCAATACTAACAACCCAATCCGCTCCTTGTCCCTAAATAGCAGCCCCATCCTCCCGGACCGGATCACGGCGGTCATCATACCGATCCCAAGCAGCGCAATTCTCCATAGTAGATCGCGCATAGTCCCTCCCATCCTTAGTACCCTCCTTAGTCCCATCACCATGAAACAGCCGACAAACATCTGTGACGGTGTTCATTTCAGCCTTTCAAGCCAGTAACTACTGTATATTTGCTAACAGAAAGCATCGTGTACAAACATTGAACATCAATTGATCCAAGTAGTAAATTCCAACAACATACCAGCCCCAAAAACACCCTCAAATCCTCCAACGCAATACTCCAAAATAGAATCAAAAACTCAATACAAACAGTAACCCCGAAATCACTTCCCAAGATCAATAAACTCCAAAAAGCAAACCCCAATAACCTTTCCATCCACAAAATCAACCCCCTCCTCTTTCAACCTAACCATCTTTTCCTCAGAAAACGACCCAGAAGCCTTGTGCCCATCAACCTTCCACTCCCCCTTATACCCACCCAACCGCCCATCAGCAGCCAGAACCCGATGACAGGGAACTTCTGGCGCAAAGGGGTTAGTCCGCATTGCATTGCCTACTGCGCGCGCGCTGGACCCTAGGTATTTTGCCATGGCTGAGTAGGTTGTCCAGCGGCCTGGTGGGACTGAGAGGAGGGTGCGGTAGACGCGGCGGCGGAACGGGGTTAGAGTTGGGTGGAGGGATATTCTATGCAGGTATTTTTTGGTTTGAGGGGTTATTTCTGGGAGAGATGGTAATTTGGTTTCTTGTTTGGTTTCCTTTTTGATTTCTTTTTGGGCTGGTGATGATATTGAGAGTGGTGGTGGGGGTGATGACAGGTGGGCAGTCTGTAATGCTGGGGGAACTGCCATGTCTGCTGCTCCTTGATGTGATATTTTTTATTGGAGTGGCAGCCCTTGTTGCTTGGGTCTTGTATTGGGGTCCCTGTTGGTTGCGGTTGGAGGTTGGCTGTGTTTGTAATTAGCTGGGAATGATGTGACGCGGTAGGACGCGTCTGGGTTTACACTTACCTCGAGGATGGATGTGACAAATAAATATTTGATGTATTGGCTTATTGAGAATTATCGAGAAATAAATATTCAGCAGAGAAAGAAGAAGGAGGAACACAAAGTGTTATAAACTTCGACTGACGGGTGTGCTGGAAGTGGCCAATCAGAGCACTCGTATGGAAATATACGTGAATCATCTAACCATCTTCGATGGCTTCATTTATAACGTATCCCATAACTGGTGACGCGCGTTTCCCACGCTGTGGCCCTGAAACTAAAGAGGCAGAGCTGAGTTATGATATGGAGTTTGGATGCTTGCTTGTGATAATGTGCCGCGGGAAATTCACATGCATACTTATAGGCGCATTAGTTAGCCGCACAAGGGCATATATGCTGGATATAACAAGGACAACATTAGAACAAAGAAGGGACGCCGGGAGCCTGCCGACAATAAGATAGGAGGTAAGGGCATTCCTTGGCGCTGATTTGACTGATCAACGAGGAGATCGGCGAAGGTTTTAGCAGTGGGAGCACATGTTCGCGCGTGGCTCGCGCACAGCTGTAATTCCGATTCCTCCACTCATTCCTCGTTTCATGAAGAATTATTCACAAGATTTCTCCCTGCACACAAAGGTAAACCGTCCATCTCACTTCGTTCGTTTCGGGCACAAGATTAATCACAAGAAATTAAAATTAAAATCAAGGATACGATCCGTCTGGAGTAAAGTATGACCACCCGTGGCTCCTTGATTTCTCACTGAACTCCAAAGCCAAGGGACACTATCTGCGTTGTGAATACCTTCACAGATGGATAAATCATGATGCCACCGCTATGAACAAACAAAGTAGCGTTATCCTGTCATACAATATGCTTACTGATGGCTCATCCCTGCATAATGGTCTACCCTGAACGTGTCATTCCTCCCTGAAAGGTAGCCGTCAATAATTGACAGCGAATAATTACTTTCCAACACGTGATGACTGCATAGTTTCGCCCCAAGCAGACCCGGACAGGACTTTATGGTGATTTATCATCCAGATCAGCGCCGTTATTCAGCAACAGCTTCACCATTGGCTAATGACCATGTTCGGCCATACTAGTCCTTTGTCTCTGGATCAGCGCCCTTATCGAGTAAGAGCTCGACCACTGATTCACCACCATATCTGGCAGCCAGTGATAGCGGTGTTTGGCCTTTGTCATCCTTTACATCTGGATCAGCACCCTTATCGAGTAGCAGCTTAACCACTAACTTATGGCCATTTCTGGCAGCCCATAATAGCGGAGTTTGACCACAGTTATCCTTTGTCTCTAGACAAGCACCCTTGTCGAGTAGCAGCTTAACCACTAGGTCATGACCATTTCCGGCAGCCAATGACAGCGGTGTTTGACCACAGTTATCCTTTGTCTCTAGACAAGCACCCTTGTCGAGTAGCAGCTTAACCACTAGGTCATGACCATTTCCGGCAGCCAATGACAGCGGTGTTTGACCAAAGTTGTCCTTTGTCTCTAGACAAGCACCCTTGTCGAGTAGTAGCTTAACCACTAGGTTATGACCATTTTGGGCTGCCAATGACAACGGAGTTTGACAAAAGACATTATCCTTTGTCTCTAGACGAGCACCCCTGTCGAGTAGCAGCTTAACCACTAGCTCGCGGCCATTTTCGGCTGCCCATGACAGTGGTGTCCGACCTTCTTGGTCTTCTGCATTAATTTCGACTCGTTGTTGCAACATCGTCTTGATTGCTTCTCCTATTCCGAAGAACGATGCTAGGTGAAGCCCTGTCATTCGTGGATCCTTAACAAACTGGGGGTCATCGTGAAAATCGTAATTTAACAGTGCCTGGCTTGATGCATCTACCTTTGGCTCGCAGTCGAGAAGGTCTGTGACTTCTGGACATAAACTGGAAGCCTCGCGAGCATGATGTCCCCAGTAGTTTGCGGAATAGTCGTAGAACTTGTTCAACTCCAATCGCTCCAAAAACTCATTCCGTGTTTGACAAGGCCCGCTATCAAACGCACGAAAGGACAGATAAGAGACACAAACTTTTGAAAGATCGGCCTCTGCATTTTCAAACAAGTCGTGCCGTGTCCGCTCAAAGTATTCTTGTGTTGTGTAATGGACTAGACGGATGATATTGCTCTCTTCATCAACCGTAACTAGTCCAGCACAGATGGATAGAATATAGGCTTTTCGTGAAATGTTGCAAGCATCGAATTCAGTTTCACCCACTTCAACTGCTAAGGCGTGCTGCAGCTCTGGGACACTCAGCTGCCTCCTCGCAAAGGTAATCCATTTTAGAGTCCACTCTGCTGTCTTCTGACAGGCGGGTGCTTGTCCCTTTATTCTTTCCATGGCCTCATCATACGCATTGTCATACGCATTTGATCCTTTGGGAAGCTTCTTAAGCGCTATTTCGATGGCCTTCGGCGACTTCATTCCAATGAGTGAATCTAGGTGGAGCCGTGCGAGCAAAAACCTTGAGGAAGTTAGTGCATTTCTTAAAGAAAATCAGATTTACTCACATTCCATCAGCGGCGTCAATAATCCCAGCCTTGACCCTCTCTTGCAATTCTGGGTTCTCGAGAACAAATTCTGGCAGCCGAGTCATATGACTATTGAGATAACTTCGTATATCCTCTTCGGAAGCAGAGATGTGATGTAGAGTACATCCATCAAACCTTTCCTCAATCTCCGGGATGGGCCTCGAGGTAGCAAAAAGATTCACTGCAGCTTTGCTCTGTAGAGCGAAAATCTCTGACAAGAGGCTTGACAAACACCCGTCAGATACTTCGCATTCATCGAGTGCGTCAACAATAATGAAAGTCTTCGAATAAAGAGCCGCCACATACAAGAGAGCCTTGCAAAGTTCGTCAAATGATGGGCGTGTCTTCTTGCGTGTATGTTTGTTATAAAGATTTTCAACCCTATCGGGTAAGGAAGGCCAGCCCTGGCTCAGTTGCTTCAATAGACTTGATACTAGATCTTCACGTCTTTGCTGCTGTTTTTGGCGAAAGTTGAAATATATATATGCAATGCCAATCGACGAGTCGTGTCCAAACCTGGTGGTGAGGTCGTCAATGACTATTGCGGCCAGGATTGTTTTTCCCGCTCCGGGAATCCCTACACCGAGCAACGTCTGCTGGCTTGAGCTTCGCCAATTCTGGTATTCGACGGAGTCTAAGAACCATTGGCCAGTGCCAGACTGCCGTCTTTTCAAATGGTCGCTATGTTGCGGGCCGTAGTCAATTCCAGTAAGCCAATCAAGGATCTCAAGGTCTTCTTTTCTGTCTAACTTGGATCGGATTGTTTTAACATTGGCGTCTGTCCTCTGAAGGGTTGCGTTAACTGGATATTGTATTAGAACATTCCTGTAAATAATTCGGCCGCCGTAATCACTAACCATCGCCTAGGATGTCTTTCAGTGGACGCTCTCCGTCCACGTCGTTAGGCTGCACATGTTCGAGAAGTTCCTTCGCACACGCTGCAGCGATAGCCGCAGCATATTCCTGCCAATCCTTGTTCTTCTGTGCGTCGGCATAATCACATATTCCCCGGATGACAATGCATGGGAAGTTATTCATGAGGCCAGCCGCCTCCATTTCGACACATAAGACATTCCCACCAAGACTTTCATTCAATCTGTCACGATCCACGGCGTTCTTAATGACCTTATTCCCACTTGCGATTAGGCCATAATGCACGCGTACGTCAGCCGACCTTCTTCGAGTATTGTGCACGTCATGATACACAGTAGGTACCGCTGATTCAGCTCTAGAATCTACAGCAAGCAATCCACTCCCGGAGAGGTATCTGTATAAAGCCAGAACCAGGCTCCAGAGTGAGAAAAGAATGACTTGCCACCCACTCCGAGAATGATCAGAAACTGCTGGGGAAGATAAAGGGTCCTGAAGGGAATCGGACCAGGTGTACTTTGACACCAGGTTTGGATATTTGCTTCCCAAATCATCAAGGTATTGACGTATCCGAGATCCATGCATCTCATGCTTAGTCTCAAGTTTTGTCAATGCCGTAAGCAGTGCGGTTGGCGGATTGTTCAGCGCCCCAATTCGTTTGAAACCGTCCTCTTCCACTTTGCCGATATCCCACTGGACCACGCCAGGAAACTCAGCGACAGGTACACTGATCACAACGTCGCCAAGTCTAACGCGAGGCGGAATACCGCCACCAATTCCAACCATCAGGCCAACCTTGATAGATGGGAAAGTGCGCGCCATCTGGGCAGCGGAAGTAGCAGCTGAGTTGTTACCGATTTTCCCTTTCGGCAGACAGGTTATAACGATATTGTGTCTGCCGATACATCCTAGGGTGTATGTATTAGGATCATTTGGCGGTTTAGGGATATCGGAATGGATTTGGTCGAGCATAGCGGTCGCTGCGGTCTGCTCCTTTGGCAATGCGCAGATCCATCCGACAGTGTAGTCATGGCACGTCAGCTCGATCGAGCGACAGGTGGGATCTTCGGTCCCGTTGCTGATCTTGCGAGAGGCGGCATCATTGCCGTCACCAAGCCCAGTATTTCTCTCCGGCATTCTTGAGACGATCTAGAGAATATAGGTCTGGGAAAGGCAGTAACAGCTTGCGGTCGCTAAAGATTGACTGCTTGAATATGTTGGGGCTATGTTGTATCGTTTCTGTGTGAACACGAGCTCGGAGACTTGGTCAACTTAGGAGCCGTTTCTCTTTGAGAAGATCGTTTAAATAGATTACTGGTAACATAGCAACTGAGAGAGTTATTCTAAATGGCGGGTAAACCGATGATTCATCAAGGGGAAAATTCAGGGGGTGTGCAGGAGCATGCAATTAAAGCGTGAGATTTAGCGCTGACATTCTTTTTTTTAAAATCGCCAATAAGCCATGTACAGTTGGTGTCAATCACTTGGCGAGCTATGGCGCGCAGTAGGGCGTCAGGGTAAAAAGAGGGGTTATAAGAACAAGCCATGCAATCATCTAAAAAGAACATGTACATTCATGCACGTCAAGCTCTAGAACCTTAAAGACCAAGACATACCAGTCTTAAAAAGGAAATCAATGGGCAAATAGGCAACACGCGTGGTAATAGCCTTCCAACGTAGACAAACCTCTTCTTTTTGCGGACGCGTACGTATATGCACGTTGATTAGTTCCGTTTCGCTCACTACATTATCTGAAAAATATACACACCATCTCCCAACCACAAATCCCGAAACTCAAGCGCGATCTACATGCTCAGCCGCAGTGGTACTATCATCCATCTTGGCAGCCGCAGTAGCAGCAGCAGCGCCAATAGAAAGAGTCTTTCCAGTCTCCGGGTCCACAACACTACCCTTGCGACTGAGCGTCTGGACCATGCCCGGATTCTCAGCCTTGAGGCGTGCAAAGGTAGCCTCTGCATCCCAAGTCCAGGGTGTCTTCGCTGCGAAGAGAAGATCCATGTCTTCGAGTGTGCGTTGGTTGCTTTCTGGGTAGAGAGCCCATACCATAGGAATAGTGATGACATTGCTGGCGGCGAAGACGTAGAGGGTCTTTTCGCCGATAGCGTTGAACATGACGGGACACAGGAGAGTCTAAAACAATCCATGTTAGTTTGTTTCCTTTGAGAGATATACAGATCTCAAAGTGTTCACATACCAGCCATCCGTTTCCGATACTCCATCCCACGACACCAAAGGCGTTTCCTCGGGCGCGAACGGCCAGAGGGAAGATCTCTGCGGGGTAAAGCCATGGCACGGTCAACCACGTCGCACCGAACGTGGAGGTGAAGATGAAGATCATCGAGGCCGCGGCTGCACCATATGAGGATGCTTTGCCCATTTCACCGGCTGCCTTGGAGTCGATGGCGAGTCGGGAAAATCCACCCGCGAGGAACATGGCGATTCCCTGGACTACCGATCCCCAATACAACGTCCATCGGCGACCGATGCGGTCGAGGGTAAAGACGCAGACCAGAGTAGCAAACTGCACACCCGCGTTAGTGCCGATCGATCTTCTCCCAGTTGTGAAGACATACCATGTAGAAAACATTGTTCAATCCACTGATCCACTGACTCTTCGTCGAGTCAAATCCAGCAATGCTGAAGATTGTCGGGGCATAAACGGTCACACCGGCGATTCCAACCCATTCCTGCATGATCTGCAACCATACGACCAGCTGCACGCGACGTCCGATGTGAAGATCACCGGACTTGTAGCCGAAAAGCATAGATAGATACGAGTTGCCGTGAACGACGGTCTTTTCCATCTCGGCGATGCTGAGGATATCCTGGAACTCGGCCTCTGCGCGGACGAGGTCTTCTCCGCTAGATCCACGCAGACGCTGCAGGATGTAGCGAGCCTCGTCCTCTCGGCCGACCTTGACGAGCCATCGAGGAGACTCTGGGAAGAACCAGACGGCCGAGAAAAGGACCAGCAGGAAGATGATCTGGAAGGCGATGGGGAATCTCCAGCGGAATGCTGATTCTCCGTTGTCGATGAAAGAAAGGCCACTGTTGCATGTCAGAAAAGGCTCAAGACAGGAAGAGGAGAACGTACAACTCCAGCCAGTAAGCCAAGACAACACCAAAGATGTTGAGTGTAAATTCAATAGCAATGAATTGACCACGCGAAGTATGCTCAGCCGTCTCGGTAGCCCACACAGGAACGATAGCATTCAAAATACCAGTTCCGATTCCGTTAATCAAACGAGCTGCAGATGTCAGCATCGATTATCCTCCATCAGGCCTTGTAAACTTACCGCAAATCATCCAAACGTGATTCTGAGCCGAGCATTGCAGAGCCGCACCGAAAATAGCCCAAGCGGCTCCAACAGCAATCGACTTGATTCGACCCATCCGGTCACCGATCCAACCACCAAATAAGGCACCGACAAGAGTTCCGAGATAGTAGACTGACACGATTCCACCCTGTAGCAAGGAATTCGTGACCACCGGTGTCACCTCACCATCCACCACCTTGGTATAACCGAAGCCCATCAAGTCGATGTAGTCTTTGGCATTGTTCACGCCGGACATCATACCCTGATCATATCCGAAAAATAGAATGGATAGCGCAGCGACACAGTTGATCCCGACAAGAAGCTGGCGCTTCTCCAGCTTGTGGACAACATTCCATGAAGGGATTTTGTCACTCATATTGTATGTATTCCCAGAGTGATTCAATAATTTCAGTAGGCTTGGCGCATCACAGAGGGCGGTTAATAGTAGGCAAGAAAAGAACACGCAGTCTTTCGCAGTCTGTAACAAAAGGAAATATATGCGAAGGCCCAGACTCGCGATGTATAACGGAGCAGCACGAGAAAAACGAGAAATCCCAAATCGACCTCATGGCGACCCGCAGGTATTTAAATCTGATGGCAAGTCGGCGCGAGTCCGAGCCAGAACGAACGGTAACTTTCCCACGGGGATCGGCCCACAGGAACCCCAGGAAAGCAAGGAGCGACAGTTTCTATGTGGTTACATCCCGGCGGGACACAGACAAATTGTGGTGCGTTTGTAGTATCCCCACCCAAATAACCGGGGATTACGGCGAGTAGGCCGAGCTCAGGCTGGGAAATGTGTCACGGCGGGGTCAAAGTATCGAGGCTTTTCCCCGGTTTGCACTGGAATCGGCAATCCGAAATGATACGATGGCGGCCCATTTTGGCTGAAAGGGGCTTAAGCCCAATGGCAGCCCCGGGTTGTATTGGCAACTCGGTTCCACCGGGGAGGACTTGCTGCGGGGATTTCGGCGTTCAAGCGACCCTATGGACCTCCCTAGGCCGGTTAGGCTAAACGGGTCCCATGGGGGTGGGGGAATTCCCCGGACCCAGGTTTGGTGACATCAGAACTCTCTCAAACCCCACGAAATGTTGTTTAAACAATAGAGAGGATGATAAGATACATTTTTTTTTCTTCGCACGTTGAGAGAAAAGCGATATACGTTGAAGATAAATGGCATGACATTGAAAACCACCTAGTAAACACCGTCTTACCAGGGATAAACACGACACAATGTGCACGAAATCCTGATTTTCATATAAAAAGTCCCTAAAAGCCCATACCATAGAAAAATAACCTCCGGAAAATCATTCTGATTACAAAAACCTACGATGAATTAGTTTTTTGACCCCGAAAAAGTCCAAAATCCAAACATTTTCGAGGCCAAAACGTTCACGATTTGCCTTTTTTCACGACTAAATGTTCACGAAATCCGACTTTCCAGCCCCCGAATTCTTTGAAAGGCCCTTTTCCAAATCCCAACCTACGAGAAAAATAACACCAGAATAGAAAAAGACCTACAAAATATCCCCAAATATCAGATTCTATCCATGAAATGATTGCTGTTAGAGTCACAAAAAGGTTGTGAGATGGATTTCTGTTCCTTTGTTCCTGCAGATCGGTTTAGCCAAGCCTGGTTCGTTCCACGTTGTCTATGGCTTGTCTCGCCACGATTTGAACACAGTATTCGATATCTCCAGCGAGGTGCATCATTTGCCTTGTTTTCAAACCAAAACATCTGTCCGGGTATGCCTGACGACTAACAGAGACATTGCAACATCTTGCAAGATTTCCTTTGCACTTACCGAAGACTGGGTTTTCATAGGCAACGTCCAGGCCAGACAGCCAAAGCATAAGGATGAGGCTCAAGTAACTGCCTAATCAGGCCGATGCCGGTACCGGGATGCGATGCGCTCATCCAACTCTAATCACGTCCCTGTCCCGGAAATCCCGAGGCATTGATCGGGCTATTTCAGGCCTCGCGCATTTCCAGGATCATTCCACATGGTCTGTAAATCCCCGACCTGTCGCTGACTCAACATGGAGAAAGCAAACATGTCAGGAAGCGTTGCCGACGAGGATTCTGGCGGCAAGCAGGAAGCTGCCAGCCAGCCAGATGTACACCTCGAAGCCTACTCGCAGTTCACTGTGGGCCAGAAGCGATCTATTGTGGCCATGGGCTCTTTGGCCAGCTTCTTCTCGCCTTTGTCGTCGAGTATCTACCTGCCCGCACTGACCACTATCGCGCATGCGTTACACATCTCCACATCCCAGGTTAACTTGACGGTTACTACATACCTGGTAAGTGGGATGGAGACTGTCTTTGAGATGAAATGGCTGATCTTTTCTTCCGAAGATTATGCAGGGTGTGGCACCCATGTTCATCGCCGGTTTTTCTGATACTGCTGGCCGTCGTCCTGCCTACATCATCTGCTTCACTGTCTATCTCGCTGCCAACCTTGGTCTAGCTCTCCAGAATAGCTATGCCGCTCTTCTTGTCCTTCGGTGCCTGCAGAGTGCTGGCAGCAGTGGAACTGTCGCGATGGCCAACGGTTTGGTGGGAGACATGATCACATCCTCTGAGCGCGGCTCATACATCGCCTTTGCTTCAATTGGAAGTATGCTGGGACCATCACTTTCACCAATCATCGGTGGTCTTCTCAGTCAGTACACAAACTGGCATTGGATCTTCTGGTTCCTCCTCATCTTCGGTGGAGTCTTTTTCCTCATACTCGGTCTCTTTCTACCCGAGACCTGCCGGAAGGTCGTTGGCGATGGCTCCATCCCACCGCCTGCGTTGAACAACTCTATCTCGGATGTGATTCGGCATCGGAAGCGCAAGGAGAAGGGACTCGCACCTGACCCAGGCAAGGAAGCCGAGGTGCGGAAGAACTACTCGCTTCGATTCCCGTCTCCCATTCCGACTATGAAGGTCGTCTTGGATATCGAAACGTCGGTGATCCTAATCACAACAGGGCTATTGTTCGCCGGATTCTACGCCGTCATGACTGGAGCTTCAACCTCCTTCCACGAGATCTACCATTTCAACGACATCCAAGCTGCATTGATGTATCTCCCCATCGGCGGAGGAGGTGTCGTGTCAGCATTTACAACTGGAAAAATAGTCGACTGGAACTACCGACGACATGCAAAGAGAGCAGGTCTTCCCGTTGTGAAGAATGTTCGCACAGATATCAGCAACTTCAACATTGAAAGAGCAAGGTTGGAAGTTGCACTGCCGCTGTACTACATTAGTAACCTGGCAATGCTCGCATACGGCTGGATGTTGGGTCACAAGGTCAACCTGGCAGCCCCCGTCATTCTCCTTTTCATTGCAGGATGGGCACTCATCGGCACGAACCAAGTGTTGAATGCACTGATGGTTGATCTATGGCCTGGAAAATCAGCAACTGCAACTGCGGCCAACAATCTTTTCCGCTGTGAGCTCGGTGCAGCAGCTTCGGCTGCCATTAGCCCTATGGTTTCTGCGATGGGGAATGGTTGGGCGTATACCACTCTGGCCCTTGTTTCCATTGCTGTTTCTCCTTGCTTGTGGCTCACTGCGCATTATGGGATTAAGTGCCGACAGAAGAGAAATCGGAAGGAGGAAGAGAAGCTGTCTCGTGACCAGGGCTAGATGGACAATATCGAGTCTGGTCTAAAGGATACATCCGGCTGGTACCTTTCTGGTGTACTTATTCGCTGTATGGCTAGCACACATGCTGATTCACAGTGAAGCTTCCATAATGAAGTTGCCGTTTTTCCGTGAGATCATTCTTCACCCCAACTTGGACTTTCTACTAAGAGCTCCACATGCTGACGATCTCTTCGAAGCTGAGGGTGTGTATTCATCTTATTGTCAGTCCTTGTGATTCTTGTTAATATTGTGAGAGATACTGAAACTTGCAGCAAGACGTAGATATAGCGCATATCGGCGACTTCCCCTCCGATGGGTTGATCCCTGCCATTGGGGGCCAAGACTTTTTCCCCAACCACATCAGAACCTGGCAATTGTATAGATTCTGCAACATCACACCACTTATTATTGCATACAGTTACCTACGAATCTTTTGTTTTGGTCATGGCCAACAATACCATCTAAGTACATTTGAGCAGGTGCAAACCTGAGGTTTCAGGGGCTCTCTTCACCAGGCCTACTGTAGACGTATACTCACTCTACCTGCCGGGATATATCCCTGAGTCTTCGCCACGTAACTTTCATTTTAATACGTCTGTACACGACATCTAGAAGGAACCATATATAGTCCTAGGTAATTGAGGGAATTTACCATGACAAGTCACCCTGCCCAGGTGGTGTTTGCCACCAAACGGTAGTCCCGCTTGTAAGCGGACCGAGAAGAATTGAAGGATCCCCGCGGAGTAGACTGGGGTAGAAGGCTGTGGAGAATGCCATTCATAATAATAGAGGAACTAAGTCATATAAATCTTCCTGGGTTTGCCCCGGAATACATTAGGCGCGGGAAAGAACTGTTGGGTTCCCGCCGCTTTTGGCGTTGTCGGGGTATAGGGCTTGTGAGATCCCACGACAAACATAACTCTGCTCTATAGCTCTTCTGGAATCACTTCACAGATTATCAATCAGCTATTCAAGTAAGTACTCGAACCAAAAGGACTGCAGCGTCATGCCGGTAAAGCCAACCGAGTCAACCCGACCGGCTTACATAAGAGAGTACGGCGAAACCTCAAAATACCGCAAAGCTCAGTCCTTTCTTTCCCGTACCTCGAATCACCCTCCCACGCATCTCAACACCTCCAATTCGTTGGTCTGGAGGATTAATTGTTTGTGTAGCTCGTTACGTCCGTTTATTTCTCTTTCGTCATGTTCCGCGCCGTCCTCCCCCGGGCTTCGCCGCGGGCTGCCCTCCGCAACGCCGGCCCGAAGGCTGTTCCTTCGACTTTCATTGCCACTCCCATGCTCCTGGTCCGTGGCTCAAAGCGCGGTTATGCATCTGAGGCAGGTGAGTTATTGCTTGGGCTGCTGTCACGGCGTCCTCGGAGAGATCCCCTGTGCTTCCCGGATGCGATTGCTGATTTCCGGGTTGCCGGGCAATAGGTGATCACGACCTCGTCATCATCGGCGGTGGTGTCGCTGGCTACGTCGCTGCTATCAAGGCCGGTCAAGAGGGTCTGAAGGTGCGCAAAACAATGCCCCCTGAGCTTGTTGGCTCTCGATTGGCTCGATCCAATCATCGCGATCTACTTGCTAACTGAACACCCTGGCAGACTGCTTGTATCGAGAAGCGCGGAAAACTCGGCGGTACCTGCTTGAACGTCGGCTGTATTCCCTCCAAGTCCCTGCTCAACAACTCCCACCTCTACCACCAGATTCTCCACGACACGAAAAAGCGCGGTAT